GCTGAGGTTCAGGGACTCAGTAAACAGAAGACGGTTCCTGTTCCGTGACGCTGCGCTTCCTTTCCCCGATGCGCGTACCGTCTTCGCCAAATAATCATGGACTACGGCACGTAAGAACACCTACTGCCGAGAAAACCCAGAAAACGGGGAAGAACGTGAAAGGTGCCACGTTCTCAGCACACAGAGAAACATGCGTTTTTACGCAGGTCGAAACGCGTTTGCGACGTCAGCCTTTTGAATCCAAGGACCCCACCCTTTGTCGCTCGCACACTCTCTCAAATAAATAGGTCTTTAAACGGAAAAAAAGAGCTTTTCACTGAAAGTACATACGGCAAAATACCGACTTTTACAGCTCACTATTGGTATATTTAGTAAATCGTAGTAATTCCATGTGTTGCTTCGTGACACTTTTTCATTTGGTGTCAGTATTTTCCCATAATTACGTATTTAATGCTTTCATCCTGCCTCTCCTTCGGACTAACACACGCTCTTACTATTTCGGGCCCTACTCCTCTGACCACCCTCCTCCCCTGTCTTCGGGGCCATGTTTCTGTATCGACATTATTTTCAAAAACGGTAGCAGCCCCCTCTTAAACTGCTTTATTCACCGACCATGGGTGCCCATCAGTGAGCGGCCGTCCGTACCCTTCCCGGCAGCAGGTTAGGACCCTGCACGTCCGCCGTACACCGAACTGCTCCATCAGTCCCCAGACACTTCTTTCTTTCTTTCTTTCTTTCTTTCTTTCTTTCTTTCTTTCTTTCTTTTTTTTTTTTTAGATTCATCTATTTACTCACGATAGACATAGAGAGAGAGGCAGAGACACAGACAGAGGGAGAAGCAGGCTCCATGCAGGGATCCCGACGCAGGACTCAATCCCGGGTCTCCAGGATCACGCCCTGGGCCGAAGGCAGGCGCCAAACCGCTGAGCCCCCCAGGGATCCCCAGACACCTGTTTCTAACGTCCTGCTACTATATTCTGTGAGGTGTAATAAACCACCTTATTTGATATCTGTGACAAATTTCCCTTGTTTATCTATTTTTTACTTTTTTTTAAGATTTTTTTTTGAATTATTTGACAGACCGTGCACGTGTGCACACAAGTGTGAGAGGCGGGGGAGGCAGAGAGAAAGCGAGAGACGGAGAACCTATGCTTAGTGTGGAGCCCAACCACGTGGGGCTCGATCCCAGGTCCCCGAGGTCACGACCTGAGCCGAAACCAAGATACGGATGCTTAAGGAGTGAGCCACCCAGACAGCCTTTTTTTTTTTTTTTTTTTTTTTAAATAATACAACTGTCGGATTGGGAGTCAGTGGTCAAAGACGGTTCATATTTGTTCCCCACGGGAAGACCATACTCGTCTGCTGTCCTGCGAGCCCTGAATCCTTTTCCTTGTGTCTTTGAACATGCAGTAACGTTAGGTATTTATGTTATTTTTCATCTTAACCGTATTGGTAGCCTGAACATTTCATTGTCGCCGTATTTTGTGATATATATCGGCTCTCGTGTAGATTTCTAAAAAAAGGTTTTATTTATTTGAGAGACAGTGAAAGAGGGAAAAAGTGAGCATGAGCAGGGGGGAGAGGGAGAGGGAGAAGCCGAGTCCCCGCTGAGCGAGGGGCCCGCCATGGGCTCCATCCCAGGACCCCGGGTCGGGACCCGACTGAGCCACCCAGACGCCCTGCTTTTGTAGATTCTTTAACGAACTACATATTTAGGCATACTCTCTGCCCACTTTTTTGTTTGGGGTGTTCATTTTTTTAAAAAAAGGACCTGAACGCATCGTATTTGCGATACGTCGTTTTAAAGGCTTTGAGAACCTTTGGATGAATTCAGTGCCGTGGAGATCATCGTCTGGGGCGCGTGCTGAGTCCCCGGTAGGTTAAGGTGTTCCCCACCAGGTGCTAATGTACGAGCGACTGAAGCCATCAGCCCAAAAAGAGAAGGAGGAGAAGGAAAAAAAGAAATCTTCGGACATTTTTCCCAAATAATCTGATGGTCAGGGTCACCGGGAATGCCTAATCCTGGATGTCACTAGATGCTTCGAATAGAATTACAGTCATAAGTCAAAGAAGACAATTCATAACGATTTGGTCCGGCGTTTTAATTCCGTCTGTTAAATTATTCATGTGAATACTTTTATGAGTTTCGCCATAAATATTTGATCGGCGGTTCCTCCGTGACCATAAACCGTCTCAGCCCTTTATTTCTCTCATTTATGTTCGGTTAACATATGGGAGGGCAGGGAGAATTTATTTTTCTTTTTTTTTTTACTTTTTTTTAATTTTTATTTATTTATGATAGTCACAGAGAGAGAGAGAGAGAGAGAGAGAGAGAGAGAGAGAGGCAGAGACACAGGCAGAGGGAGAAGCAGGCTCCATGCAGGGAGCCCAACGTGGGATTCGATCCCGGGTCTCCAGGATCGCGCCCTGGGCCAAAGGCAGGCGCCAAACCGCTGCGCCACCCAGGGATCCCGAGAATTTATTTTTCTTAATAATGAGAAACGTCTGTCCCCACAGACTGACTGAGCCTGTCTGGTGAGCTTTTACGATGTCTGGAGGTCAGCAGTACACCTGTCCTGGCAGTGCCCTAAGCGTGGTAATAGGAATTCTCATTACTTAATAAAAAAAAAAAAAAAAAAGAAAAGAAAAAAGAGGGGAAAACAAAAGGGGAAAGTGGGACTGTCTGTGTCAGAGCGGGGCCGGTGTCCGGAGACGCAGGCAGCTCTACACCAGTCACACAGCTTGTTGGTGCCCAGTCTGGATTCCGGGCCAGGTCTGCGTAGACTAAGGGACCGAACGCGCCGTCCCCCCCTCCCCCCCGTGATGCCGCGACCCGTCCTCCCGGAGCAGAGCCGGTGGGCAAATACATGGCTGTTCCCTGCTGGTGTCCCCGCCCCCCCCCCCCCCCGACCCGGCAGGTGCATTTCTGACGACGCCTAGAAGGCCTCGCTCTGCTTCTGTTTTCTGTGCACCTGGCTGCATAGACGAAAGCTTCCTGTAAACAGGTGTCGTGGGCACCGCCTGGTGCAGACGTGCTTGAGCAGGTGCGTCGTTTGGCAGGCAGCTGGGGGGGGGGCCCTGGAGGGGTGTCGGAAGGCGCTTCTTAGAGGCTGCTTTGAAGGGGGGTGGCTCTTGGAAGACGATGGCCAGTGGCTGGGGTGGGTCATAACCCGTCTCACCTGCTGGTGACCTTTCAATGCCTCTTGACCCTAAACAGGGTGAGGCGTGCTTCCGCCAGAGAAAGGAGAGTGCCAGGAGCATGGTGCGTTCCAGGGGGGCCATGCTGGGTGGGCTCCAGGGGTCTCTGGATGGGGCTTCTCCATTAGAGGCGGGTGTACGGGACCCCAGCCCCAAGCCCCAGGGAGGGGAGACAGGCCGGACCCGGACATTGGGGTGGGTCGTGGGTGCCTGATGAAGCTCCATTAGGTCCCAGTACTGGGAAGTGCGGGGAGCTTCCTTCCAGGGGTGCTCGGAAGGTGCTGGGGAGTGCACGGCAGCCAGCGCCCTGCCTTGCTCCCATCCGTGCCTCCTGTCCTGGCCAACCCGAGTCCCCACTTCTGAGCCGCTCTGGCCCTTTAGCTCCACCCCAGGCAGGGCCCACGGGAGCTGCTCGGAGGCGAGGTGACAGCCTGCACTCAAGGTTGGCGTCTGGGGTGGGGAGGGACAGCCCCGAGGGACCCAGCTGTGGCCTGCGGGCCGACTCCGTCCAGGGTGGGGGTCTCGGGGGCGGCTGCCCGGAGGATGCCCGGCTGGGGGCAAAGCCTGCCCCTGGTGACCCGGGGCCTCGCAGGTGACGGCTTCTCGGCGAAGCTAAAGGGGATCCGAGGGGGCGAGTCTGTGCTCAGAACCCCCCCCCCCGGCTGTGCCTTCGAGGCCCTGTGGCCCCAGCTGACCCTGTGGCCATGAACGTCTCCCGCCCTCCGCGTGGCCCCTGCTGATCGTGACACTCGCTTCGTGTTCCCTCGTTTCTTCACACGTTTTCTCTCAGCCCCTTTTCGTTTTTTTGAAGATTTTATTTATTTATTCATGAGAGACGCAGAGAGAGGCAGAGACACAGGCAGAGGGAGAAGCAGGCTCCCAGCAGGACTCGATCCTGGGACCGGGGATCACGCCCTGGGTCCACGCAGATGCTCAACCCCTGAGCCCCCCGGCCCTCCCCCCCATGAAGTCCTTCCCGCGGACCCAGTGGGCACCGCCCGTCCCTGCATCCCTGCACCTGCTCGTGCCCGTGGGCTCCCTACCGCGTGCCCGAGGCGTTGCGTCCCAGCTGCTCTCGCCAGCCCTGAGCTCGCTGCCCTGATAAATGATCGATCTTTCAAAACGGTCCTTTCTCTCAACATGATTTCTTTGGGGGATTTTAAGTGTATTCGCTGCGCTGTTATCACCCGCATTTCGGTTTCGTATTTGTAAGCACGTACCTGGCGTCGCCCGCGGCCTCGGGGAGACTGACCCGGAAGGCGCTGGGACGCGAGGCGCGGCCGCGTCCCTCCGTGGACAGGGGTTGGGGCTGCGGGCCTTGGTCCACCTCCCGTCTCCCTCCTGTTGGGCCGTCCGTGCCCTGGACCGAGAGCTGTGGGCACCGGCCGGTGGCCTGGGAGCGGAGGGGACCCCCCTCCCCGAGGGGCCTGGCAGGGGGAGCAGGACGTCCCAGACTCACGCTGTGCATCGCTCCCTCGGGCTGGGTCTCAGGGCCGAGATGGAAGGAGGGGAGGCCCGGAGGCTGAGCCTGCGGCCGAGGGGCCTCCCCTGGAGCTGCAGATGCAGCCCTGAGGCCTCGCTGGCTCCCCTGCACAGGGACACCCCCAGGGCAGGGTGGGGCACCTGGGCATGACCTGGAGCATCCTCAGGAGGACGTCCGTGGGGACAGCGAGCTGCATCCCCCCCGGGCTCCCGTGCCGCCGGCTGCCGGGCCGAGTGGGGCCGGGGGGTGGGGGTGTGGGTGTCGGCAGGCCACGGGCAGTCCCCTGGCCTCAGCCGGCTGCCCGTCCCTGTCTCCGCAGGTGGCGCCCCCGCAGGGACCCCCGTGGCCCAGGCCGCGGCCCTCCTGGTGAAGCGGCTCCGCCACACGCGCCGGGCCTGGAAGGGCGCCGTCTCCGACCTGCTGCTGCCCGTCCTCTTCGTGGCCTTGGCCATGGGCTTGTTCATGGTGCGGCCGCTGGCCACGGACTACCCGCCCCTCGAGCTCGCGCCCGGCCGTTCCGACGGGGCCGAAGCTTACTTTTTCAGGTGAGAACCTATTTCCCCTCCTTTACGTCTGAGTTACGGCAGGACAGGTAACGGACAGCAGTGGCTTTGATGCTCTTGTTTTTTTCTCTTTTTTTTTTTTTGAGATTTTATTTATTTATTTGAGACCGAGAGAGAGAGACAGAGATAGCGAGAGTGAAGGGGAAGGGGAGCAGCAGGGAGCCCGAGGCGGGACTCGATCCCGGGACCTGAGGCCGCGACCCGGAGCCGAAGCAGACGCTCCACCGCCGAGCCCCAGGCGTGCACCGGGGAGCCCCCGCGGATGCGTAGCTCAAGAGGGCGCTCGGGACGCGGGCTTGGACTGCATCTTAACAAGAGAACCAGGATTTTTTAGAGACTTGACAGGACACGGGATAAAGGCTCCGCGCTCTGGGAGCGGCCAGTGGGGGGCGCGCAGTCGGGGTAGGGATGCTTGCGCGGACTCGGGGGGCGCGTCTGGCCCAGACGTCTCGACCTGTGGCTGCTGGTCCGCTCCCTGGTAGAGCGGAGGGCGGGGGGCACTCAGACTATGGCTGCGTCTCGGCAAATAGGGGCGAGGCCAGAGCTTTTCTGTTCTGTTTTTCTTCTTTTCAGGATTTTATTTATTCTTTATTTATTCGATTATTTATTTATTTATTTATTTATTTATTTATTTATTTATTTATCAGCGAGAGAGAGTGTGAGAGAGCGAGCATGAGCAGGGGGTAGGGCCGAGGCCGAGGGAGACGCAGGGTCCCCGCTGAGCACGGAGCTCCCCTCGGGGCTCCACCCAGGGCCTGAGCTCAGTTCACGACCTGAGCTGAAGGCAGGTGCTTCACCCACGGGGCCCCCGGTGCAGCCAGAGAGCGTCTCCGACACCTGCTTGTCAGGTGCCTTCGGCTCACAGTGATCCTTGTGTCTACGGGGCAGCATATTGTGCCTCCCCCCACACCACGCACACAGAGACACACGGGGACGCAGTCAGGCCACCACGGGGCTGGCAAGCCAGGGAGACCCTGCATCAGGGCCGCTGCCAGCCCCCGGGGGCCTGGGTGTCCCCCTGCAGTCAGACGTTGAAGCTTTAACCCGTGTGGCTGTGGTGGGACACGGGGCCTCCATGGCAGTAATTAAGGTTATATGGTGAATATTTCAATATTTTCTTCTTCTTCTCCTTTTTTTTTTTTTTTTTTGAGAGACAGAGTGCATGTGCAAGGAGAGGGAAAGGCAGAATCTTTTTTTTTTTTTAAGATTTTATTTGTCTGATTTATTTATCTGACGCACATCCCGCTGCTTTCGGAAGGAGCGCGCCCCCGAAATCGCTGCCCTTGTCCTGGGTGCCGGGTCCCTGGGTTGCCGGGATGAGCCGTCCCGCGTCCCGGGACCCACACTCCCGGCTCCTCTCCTGCCGGCGGCGGCGGGGAATCTCCTGACCGCCCAGGCCGTGCTGGTCTGATCTTCGAGGTCTGCATCTTAGCCCAAGAATGATTCTCCGTCAAGCGGCTTCACGCTGCTCGTGATTCCCCTCGGTTTCCTGCACACACACATGCACGTGTGCGCACGGCCCGGGGTCAGCGGCTCTCAGCCTTCTTGCTCTGCAGGTGGGCGCATCCCCATTTCGTGACACTTGTGAGCGGTCTCCAGGGGCGACACGCGGTACTTGCATCGCGATCCTCCCGTGCTCTCCAGCGGAACTCCTGGCCGCCGGGCGAGGAATCCAGGCCTGCGTGTGGCGTCAGCAGCCACTGCCTTGCCCGGCCGGCCCGAGGGTACACGGGAGTCTCGGCCCCTGGTGCACTGGCCGAGCTCGGCACGGCCTCCTGGCCCTAAGGCCTTCGGGCTCGGGAAAGGGCAGCGATGCGCCTCCGTTGAATTCCCTTAAGAGTTCTGAGGTCGGCCGCTCAGGAAGGCACGCCCTGGAGGACACGCACCTAGGAGCCCGTGCGCAGGCCGGCGGGCCCCTCACAGGGGACTTGGTGCTCGGCGCCCAGAAAGCCCGGGCCTTCGTGGCTCCGTGTGTAGCCCGGACGCCTCTAACTCCACGTCCTGGGGGCCGAGGGGGTGGTCGGGGGGTCAGGGGAGGCTCAGGTGGGGGCCGAGGGGAGGCCGGGAGGGGGGGCACTAGGAGGGGTGTCCAATGGGGGGGACCAGTGGGGGAGCAGAGAGGAGGGGCCAGCGGGGGGGAGCTGGGCCAGGGGAGGCCTGGGAGGGGTACCCAAGGGGGGGACAGTGGGGGGTCCAGGCAGGGAGGCCGGGTGGGGGCTGGGAGGAGGGGCCAGCGGCGGGGCTGGGCAGGGGGGTGCTGCGAGGGGTGTCCAATGGGGGGACCAGTGGGGGGCCAGGCAGGGGGAGCTGAGTCTGCTCCTACAAGGCTGAGAAGCCGAGGAAGAACCATTTTGAGCGCCACGTCTTATGGGCCTGCAACTGGAAAGCGGAGCGGAGGGAGCGCATCTTGGCTGCTGTGGGCCTAAGCAGCCAGTCCACGGCCCCTGCTCCTGAATCAGCTGCTAGCTAACTGCTAGTTTCAGGGGGGGCTTCCGGGACTCCCCGTTCCCACTGGGAGCTGCAAAGAGAGAGGAGGTGGGGACTCGGCTTGTTCAGGCCTGAGGCCAGGCAGGCAGGCCAGGGAAGCAGGAAGGCGGCAATCCAGCTCTGAGCAGGGCAGCCCGGGCACAGCTGTGTGCACCTTGTTTGCTCTGCACACCTCGGGGGTAAAACCCGGAGACCCTGCGAGAGGTCCCGGAGTCCGTCCCCACTGTCCTGGGATGACGACGGTACGTCTGAGCCCGGCCTCCTCGTCCTTCAGGCTTCTGTGCGGTGGCTGCTGCTCCAGGTACCTGGCACTCTGCACTTTTTTATTTTTTAAGATTTTATTTATTCACTTGAGAGAGAGAAAGCACAAGCAAGGGAGAAGCAGACTCCGTGCTGAGCAGGGGGAGCCCGACGTGGGGTTCGACCCAGGGACCTGAGATCGTGACCTGAGCTGAAGGCAGAGGCTTCACCGATGGAACCTTCCAGGTGCCCTCGGGATAAGACCACTTGCAAAATCTGGCTCAAAGTCCCTCCTGCAGGGATCCTCCGCCTCTGCCCTCTCTGCGTGGCCACCACGCCATGTGGATCCCACGGTGGTTTGACCCGTGGCTGCAGATCCGTGTCTTCCTTCCCGCAGGATGGCTCCCTGGAGGGTCAGGATCGAGGCTTATTCATCCCTCTAAGGGTAGCTCTTGCCGCAGCGTCTAGAAAAGGTTCCTTTCATTAAGTATTTGTGAAGTTGAACTCAACGATCAAGATGAAATGTAGCAGGAAAAAGTCTTCCAGAAATGAGCCCAGGTCTCTACTTTGAGGTGCAAACAAAGCGCGGACCGTGGAAAGGTGGCTGCGGATGTGTGGTTGAGCGCATCTGGAGGAGACCCCAGGGCCCCCTCTTCTGGGCTGGGCGCTTGGTCCTCACGGGAAGGGGTGCTCCTGAGGCACCTTGGGAAAACCCACGGGGTCCCCCCTGAACGTGGACGTCACCCCGGTCGGTGGTCGGCTGTGTTCCCGCCATCAAACTGTCTCTGCTTTCTCCACCTAGTCCCAGCCAGAGGAAGCCCTACACACGGCCTTCTGTCTGCGTGTCCCTGTGACCAAATATCTCCATCCCATAGGGCCTCCGCCGAATTGGAGTGAGCCCACCCTGGTCCCCTATGATCTCACCTTAACTACGTCTCCAAAGACCCCGTTTCCAAGCAAGGTCCCATCATGACCTTCTGGATGGGCACGGAATTGTGGGCGGCCACTGTTCATCGCAGTCCCCGTTTTCATAGCACCTGCCTTAGCCAGTGCCATTCAGCTGAACCAACATTTTAGTCACCTTTTGAAAAAAAAAAAAAAAGAGTGACTTGGCTTTCTACAAAAACCAGACCCCGCATGCGGAAGGAAAATCAGAAAGAAAAACTGGTTGACGACGAGTGTGATGGTTGGTGTGTATCCGTCAGCACCGTGGTTGGCAGGATGGGACCTGGGATGTGGTGTAGGTGGACCTACGTTCACGTCTGAGCAGTGACACCTGGTGACCTCCCGACGTCCACCTTGAACATTTCACGGGTCACGTTCTTGTCCGTACGGAGGCGTAACTCCTTCTACGGACCCTGTATCTTTATCTCGTGAGAGCACAGAGCACCTTATTCTGTTCGGACGATTCTGAGGGATGGTGAATGCAAAGCAATTGGCCTATTTCCCGGCAGAAATGATGTTCTCCGCGCGGGCTGCTGGTATACCCTGGGCGGCCCCGGTGCATCACCTGTGCTTCTGGGTGCTGAGCGGAAGGCATGTGTTGCTCCCCGGTGGGCTCGGAAACGTGCCCCCAGCAGAATGAACTAGGTGCTCCCTGTGCCGCCCACCAGGGTGCCGGCCACCCGTGTCCTGTCCAGTCCACCCGGGCGCCCCTCCGCCCTGTGCCGCCTGGGGCCTCCGAACTCTGCCCTGACCTTGCGTACCCAACCTTGACCGCAGGAGCGTTCTCTGCCCCAGGCCGCGGTCTGGCTCTTTCTTCCTGGCTCAACTTACACACGTGTGGCCTCTTTTGAAGTCCTGTCCAAGTGGCCCCTCAGCGTCCTTACCCAGCGTCCCCCCAGGTGCTTCAGGAAGCTGTTCCATGCCGCGCTTCAGTGCCCGTGGAGCGCGCACTCCAGTGGGAGACCGTGGAGGGCAAGCGGCGGAGCTCACGCTGACGGACGCCACATGCCGCCCCTGGATGGTGCCCAGCACCGGGCAGCTGCCCCTGGAGTACTTGCACACAGACGATTTCCAATCCTTTCCTCTCTCCCTGACCTTGAACTTAGGAGGCATTTTGCCTCCTCCCACAGCCCGCAGGGGACGGTCCATCAGCCCCATCCAGTCGCCTTCAGCACATCGTGAATCAGCGACGGTTAGGGGACTCTGTCCTGGCGCTTGGTGCGGTGACGTTGAAATAGAAGGACAACGAAGCAGCAGTGCTGACCGGGTCCTCATCCTGAAGACGCCGCGCTCACACACGTAGGGGACTTCCTTGGGTGACACCACCTCGTGGGGGCAAGACGGAAAGGACACTCAAGCTTTCTGGATCTAATTCTCTCTTTTAAAAGATTTTATTTATTTATTCATGAGACACAGAGAGAGGCAGAGACACAGGCAGAGGGAGAAGCAGGCTCCCTGCGGGGAGCCTGACGTGGGACTCAATCCCAGGACCCAGGTCATGCCCTGAGCCGTTGGCAGATGCTCCACCCCGAGCCACCCAGGTGCCCTGGCTCTACTTCTCATTCCACAAACAGACACAGACACAAGTCCTACCCGCAGGAAGCTCCCGGCCGAGCTGAGAGATCACCCCACAAATAGCTGGACAAGGAAGTCTCGGAAATGCCACACCAGGCAGCCACGTACAGTGTGGGTTGTGCTGGCGGGGACAGGGCAGGGCCCCACCTGGGGCTCCAGGAAGGCCTTCGGAAGCCAACGCACCTGAGTTGAGTGTCTTCAGTGACAACCGGGTGCTCCCCGGGCAGGTAGGAGGCAGCGTTTCTCCAGACAGAGGAAGAGGTGCAGGTCAGTGTGAAGAGGAACGGGACAATCCCGCAACGTCTACGTGTTCCCGCAGGGGGTGCGGGAGGCCTTCCAAGCAGAGACTACCTTAGTCCGCAAGCAGAGCGAAGGGCAGAAACACGAGGCTACACCCCGTGGTGCGATGTAACGGGCTGTGTCCGGCGCATTCCCCAGACGGTTGTTCCACGGGGCGCCGTTCCCTTGGGGGTCCGTTCCGAGGGCCGCTAAAGAGGTCACATCTTCCTGTTGGGGTTAAGTTGCAAAACAAAGTTAAATGGGTTCCTCTTCTGTAAGCGTCTCAGAGCTTGTACCATGTGGAACTGGCCACACAGGGCCTGCGTCCCTCCGCCAGCTTCCTCTGGAGTCGGGGACATCATGGGCATCCCCGTGAGGACCACACAGAAGCTTCCAGGCAGGGCGTCTGGCTCGCAGTTCCCTTTCCTTTGTAGATAATGTAATAGGTGATCTTGATCTTATAGGATTTCTTCTTTGTAGAGTGTTGGATCTTTATTCTCCATCTTCTTCTCATCAGACCTTCAGATTTTGGTGCAGGAAGGGGTTACGTTTGGAAACATGCATCTGTTCCAGCAGGTCCCCGGGGTCACTCTGAAGCACAGTACATTTTGTGAGTAACCTGGAGAGAGGAACAGTATCCCGTTTAAGAATCACCTCAGATTCTAAACTTCCTAGTCTGGGAATGATAGATTTCACGTGGTTCTAACAACATATTGAAATATAGGCGAGAATTTGAAGACAAGCAAAAAGCAATGGTTTTAGGAACAAGCATTTGAATTTTCAGACAACAGGGACAATTGAAAACCACGGTGGTTTTGTTTTATTTTATTTTTTTCAACAGCGACCTCTAGACCTGAGCAAAAATCTAGTAGAAACTAAACTATGACTTTTAAACTTGCACTTGGTAATTATTCCAGGTAAGCCACTTTATCGATCAATATGTGTTTCTCGGAAAGAAAAAAAATGCTGTGGACTTTCATATTTGTTCTTGGATTAATGGGTCAAAAGAGAGCAATCCAGAGTATTTTCCAAAGATGCCACAAATAATGTTTTCTTTTTATGGGCAACATATCAGTGGGAAATATGTCCCTTTGCTTGTGACAGGATCTTCTCATTTGTCAGCATCGGGGAAGCTGTTTGCTCGGAGGAACATCGCCGTCGGGACTCTCCACTCGCCTTCGCTGCCTTCCAGCTGCAGCTGCGGGGAGTCCTGTGGGCCGGGGTCAGCCCCAACCCTCAAGCTCCGCTGTATTTCCTGCAGTGGGAGCCTGGCGTGGGCGGGGCCGGGAGGGGCCAGGAGGGTCTGGGAGGGCGGGCATGGGAGGGGCCAGGAGAGGTGGGGGGGGCTGGGAGGGGCCAGCTTGGCTCGGGTAGGGGTGGGGCCTTCTGGGAGCCCCGTTGGGCCGCATCTGTCCCAAGGCCGCCCCGAGGAGTGTGGGGGTTTCAAAGCGCATAGATAAGGAGGCGCCGCTGATAAATGAGGAACAGAGGAACCGCAGATCGCTGTTAGAGGCCCACTAGGGGTTAGGAACGTTCGAGATCCCGTCTGGGGAGAGGGCTGCCCCGGAAATCCTGAAGTTGGTTCTTGTTTTGGGCTTTTATTGGCGCCTAAGGGACGTGGGGTGCAGTAGGCCTGACCCCTCGCCCCCCACCTTTGATGCTGGTAGCAGCCCAACCGTATTTGGGAATTGGCATCTCCCAGTCCGTGGACAATCAGAAGAATCCGTGGTTGAACCTTAGTTGAAGGTCTTCCATTGCTTAAGCGGAGCTACTGTTCCAAGTTCTTCAAAACAAACCTTTGGTGCATTTGTTGATTGATGCGCTGCTTCTTTCCCAAGAACGAGATTTGAGGGCGCCCTTACACCTGAGTCCTCTATCATGCCAGGAAGACATCGTCTTTCCTTATCTTGGGGATACGTGTTCCTGACCGTGTCTACTCAGAGGCATTGTGTGAATGACACGGCGTAAGTTCTACAAACAATAAACCAACTTTCTTTTGGAAATAGTCATTCAGAGTTTTAATTGCTTTAAATGAAGTCATTCCCAATCAGTCCAACTTTGACAGGTTTATTTATTTACTTTTAAAGATTTTACTTATTTATTCATGAGAGACACAGAGAGAGGCAGAGGCATGGGCAGAGGGAGAAGCAGGCTCCATGCAGGGAGCCTGACGTGGGACTTGATCCCAGGACCCGGGGTAATGGCCTGGGCTGAAGGCAGGCGCTCAGCCACTGAGCCACCCCAGTGCCCCATTTTAGACAGGTTTAAGTGGTCTTTTCCTCTCCGTTTTCTCAAGTCACGGTGACTCTTACGATCCATGTACAAAATGTAATATAGTTTGTTTCCACACCTCCCCCAAGGTAGAGGAATAGAACGTCTTACCGCTGACGATGTCTTCAGTGAGGAAATTCAGTACTGGTGGGCTTGGTTCTTTTTCAGCAACGCTGCTTGAACTATCACCTGATTTCTGACACTTGTTCCAGTAAAATAAATATGATAATTGGATGTGTACTTAAAGCACACACAGGACTTGTTACCAAGAAAATGTCATTCCATATAGCTCACATATAGAAATAAGAAAACATAAAAATACAAAGCTCCATTGCAGAGCTAGGTGATTGAACAAATTTTCAAACCAAACCAGAGTTCCCACAGTAAGAGGAATTTTAAATAGATTTTAATATATTAATGTGATGAAACATTGTGCGGGCTTTAAAATTTACTTTTAAAAACCATGCAAAAATGCCAAAGATGGCAGGATTATAGTAATAAATGAAAAGATGAGAGCAGTAATGCACTGTGAACATCAGTATATAAAAATGCATATCCTTAATCTTATTGCTGGTTTGGCTTTACTACACAGACTCCACAGTTAGCTTTATCTGCCATCACGGACGGAGGAATCGCTCGCCTGCGTCAGCTCAGCCAGGGCATGCTGCCCTGTGATCTCCCGATGAGCACTAGCACACGGCACCTTACTGCCTTCTTTCTTTTTGTCTTTGGATGAACAGCAGCGGAAGCGACGGCCAGGAGCTCGCCCAGGTGCTTTTGCGGAAGTTTGGAGATCAGGATCTGCTCTGTGGTGGTTTAAACCCAGACCCGTAAGTATCAGACGCCTTTACCAGAGTGCACGCTGCAGCCCCAACCCTGCAGACCCAGAGCGCCATCTCCCTGCCTGACTGGTCTTGCCCATTGCAAGTTTTTTTATTTTATTTTATTTTATTTATTTTATTTTATTTTATTTTATTTTATTTTATTTTATTTTATTTTATTTTATTATTTATTTTATTTTTATTTATTTTATTTTATATTTTATATTTTATTTTATTATTTTATTTATTTCATTTTTATTTATATTACATTATTTTATATTTTATTTTATTACTTCATTAATTTTATTTTTGAAAGATTTTGTTCATTTATTTTAGAGATAAAGGAAGTGGGGAGGAACAGAGGGTGAGCACAGAGTCTGTCGGGATGGGGCGGTGCGATCCCATGACCCCGAGATCATACCAGGGGCTGAAATCAAGTCCCACCGATCAACCTGCTAAACCACCCAGGTGCCGCCCCCACTTGCAAATTTAAATGACTCGAAATAACTGGAAATAAACATTAGCCTAAGGAGTAGGTTAGGCTGCATACTTGCCCCTTTCCTTCCTTGGCAAACACAGGCTTTATATTATATATTAGAAAAATAATCAATAATCAATAATTAATAGCATTCAATTTGTTTCATAAAACCCCAAAGTAAAAAGTATAAAGTAGCAAGTAAATATGAGATATGCATTAACTTATTCACTTTTTGGGAAAACTTGCCTGTATGAAAAGATGTTTTTTTTTTGTCTGTTTTTTGTTTTTTTACAAGAAAACGTTTAGTCCATTTGGGGGTGAATTACTTTGGCGAATTTTTCTTCTAAGATTTGAAAATGATTGCATTGAGAGGACTCTTTGATGAAACTTGTGAAAGTCTGCCTTTCTTCATAAACAATTTTCACTACGTTTGCTTGGCTGTTACTTATCGAGGATCTGCTGTAAATACAGGGCTGCCGTCGGAGCCAGGATTGATGCTGGATCTGGCCCTGCCTCAGGAATTTACAGTTCTGGAAAGAGCACGTGGGGAAAGTGATAAAACCCCAATGATGGATTAAGTACCGGAGTGTACGTTTTGGGGTAATAAATAGAACAATCCAGACAATAATGCGATATTGGCAGTAGGTTTTCCTAATTAGTGATGACACATCTTTCACATTAGTCATGTGGGCAAAGCTCGGGAGCAAATAAGTATTAGTGGGCTCAGTAAGGAAGAATTAATAGAAAATTCATTATGCTGCCCCCACTCTAGTCTGGTTGGAAACCAAAGCCATCCCGCTTACAGAGGGCGCATCGATGGCGATGCCTTGGTTTCCCGCACCCCGAGCCTCACGGGACGTGACGTGCGGTGGCAGAAACTGACGGGAGCTCGGGGACCTCCTGTCCTCGGCTGGCTGGCAGATAAAAGGACTTTCTTTTTTTTTTTTTTTAAGATTTTATTTATTCATTCGAGAGAGACAGAGCGAGCACAAGTGAGGGTGGGGGCAGAGGGGGCCCCCGCTGAGCAGCGGCCCCGAGGCGGGACTCGATCCCAGGACTCGGGATCATGACCTGAGCCAGAGGTAGATGCTGCATGGACGGAGCCCCCAGGCGGCTCAGAAGGAGATTTCCTTATCAAATCTCTCAAGAGGGGGAGAAAAAAAGTAGGTTCAGCCCTAAGGACAGTAGGGATTCCCCCCCACCCCCGCAGGCCCCTCCCCAAGTCCCCGCGGACTCAGCCCGGCCCTCCTTGGTTTTCTGCTCAGCCCTTCTTTTCTTTCCGGATCTGTGGTTTGGTTTTCTCCTTTCTCTTGGTGAAATCCACGGGGCCCCCTCTCAAGCGGTCCTATTCAGCGACCTGTCCTGCCCTGTGCCTTGGTCACCAGGACAAAAGGCCGGGGCTGGCGGGGGGCTGCCTCCCACAAGGCTGCTGATGGAGGGGCTGGAGGCTGGTCCCTGCTTCTTTTCTAGGTTCTCTGGCTGGTCTCATAATTAAATCGAGCTGCGGCAGGTTAACAGGAGGAGAGCAAGGGTAGTTAGTACGGGAGGGGGCTCACGGCAGAGGCGCAGCCGCTCGACACCTTTTAGACAAAGAAGCCATACATCTGTCTGTCCATGGAGAATTGAGAGGACCCTGGGGTGTGGGCTTGGGAGGGGTCGGGAGGAAGGAAGTGACAGGGTTGGCTTCCCAGGGCAGCTTCCCCGGTGAGAAGGGAGCACACCTGCCGCGGGGACTGTCGTCCCGCCTCGGGGCAGAGGGCCGGGCCTGCTGCCCACCAGCACTTAGTCATCGGTGCGCGATGACCGCTCAGCCTGCCCTGACCCCATCCCGCTCAACGCTTGTGTCAGCGTCTGCCCAGGTGACAAAAACCAGGTCTGATCTGCTAAGGTCCCAGGTGGAGGCCAAAGGTTCTCGTGAAACGCGGAGGTTCCCTTCCCTAAGTGAGAGCCGGTCTTGGATTCGGGGTTGGCTCCATCTCCCCGCCTCGTGGCCTCTCCCGGAACCGGCCCCTTCCCCGTGAGCCCTCTGAGCGTCACCTGGGAACCCCAAGCCCCCCAGCCCCAGAGCACATCCCCAGCCCCCCGACCCCCCAACCCCCTAGCCTTCCAGCCCTGGAGTGCGTCCCTGGCCCCCCGGCCCCCCAGCCCCTTGTCCCCTGGCCCCCCACCCCGGAGCGCGTCCCCGGGAGCCTTGGTCGCACATCCCGCAGGGCCAACCAAGTGAGCGTCATTTAATAGACTGGAAATACTGTCATTGTGACAAAACATCGTCATCAGATCAGCAGCTCCAGCTGTGAAAACCGATGTGCGAGCCGTGCCTTGTGCAGCGGGAGATGCCTGTCGCGGACGGCTCGGGGCTGACGCAGCCCTCTTTTGTGGGAATAAACCCGCTCTGTGGTCTGAGAGATCATCCCGGGCCTCTCCTCTGTCTGTAGGACGAACGCTTCATGCTGGCGCGTGGACCCCCCGTCTGCCCCGCGAGCCCGGGATTCCTGCGGCTGCCCGGTAGGTCTCTACGGCGTGTGGCATCTTTGGTGAGTCTAGAAAGTAGCAGCAGTCGGCTCCCTCCGTCGGTAACGTGACTCGGAGCGTCTCCGCGGCCTCCCGGTTGACTTTTGGAAAAGTCTCGTTACGGAGGGTGGACGTTTACTCTTTATTATTCATCATTATTTTCAAGGTATTATTTATTTGAGAGACAGCAGAGCGGAGGGTGGGAGCGGGTGGGAGGAGAGGGAGGAGCAGACTCCCCCGAGCAGGGAGCCCGACGCAGGACTCGATCCCAGGACCCGAATCAGGACGTGCGCCGAGGGCGGATGCTTCGCCGACTGGGCCTGGAGTGGACGTGTAGGCGACACGGATGTGGCCCTGCTGTTCACCGGCATAACATCCCCGATGGCATTTCCCAAGCAAATTAATCTTCCTCAATTCGTGATGAAGAAGCTAGAATTGCCTTTTGGAGAGAAATTTCCCCAAATTTTAAGGAGGATGACCTCCAGCCTCGTCCCGTGCCTACGTGAGCACGGAGAGCGACCCCTTAGAAGCTGAGATACCGCCTGGCTCTTGGGATTAGGGTCGCTCACAGAGACGAGGGAGGGCCCCGCCGGCCCGGTCCATGCAGGTGAAGAGCTGAAACTCCCCCGAAGACCGCGGGGACTCCCCTCAGCGGCATCTCCTGACGGACGAGTAACGAGCGTCGGCGGGTCGGGCACCGGCGCGGGGCTCGCGTGCAGCCCTGGTGCCCAGAGGAAGGGAGAGCGGGCGCGAGTGCGCGGCGGCCGCCGTCAGGAAAGCACGGCCCACGGAGAACACGCTCCGGCGCTCCGCGTTCAGCGGCCGGGACACGGCCCTCCCAGCCGAGGAGCGACCCCGGGGTCGTGCCCTGGACGGACCCGCTTTCCCCCCGACGCGGGCAGACGGCGAGTGGCAGCCCCGTGGGGGAGGCGCACGCGGTGCCCGACGCCAGCCTGCACCCCGAGCCCCCGGGCCCCCGCGGCCGGGCCAGCCTGCGGGGAGCTCCCCCGGGGCACAGCCGCGGCCTCGGCTCCAGGCCCGCAGGCACGACGGCGGCCCTCGCCCCGCGCTCCGGTTGTGAAGCCGCCGCCGTCCATCCCCTGCTCTGCGACCACGACTGCGGTTCCCTTTCTGTTAAATCTGCGCCTTCCCTTACGAGCTGCCTCGGATCTGGCATCACCAGGCTGGGGGGCGGCGGCAAAGGATGCAGCTGTCCCCAGAGTCACGCCACCTTGCCTGAGCGGCCAGATTCCGGGGACACGCACGTAGGGAAACGGGTGCGGGCGCAACGGCTCCCTGGACGCGCGAGCCTGGCCCTGCGGACCAGCTGCCTCTGACGGGGTCCCCCTGCAGCCCGCCCGCGACTCCCCTCCCGGGGACCCCTGCCCTCCATGCACTGTGACCTTTCCCGTGACCCCTGCCCTCCTGCCCATGGTGACCTTCCCGGTGACCCCTGCCCTCTGTGCACAGTGACCTTCCCGGTGACCCCTGCTCTCCTTGAGTAGTGACCTTCCCGGTGACCCCTGCCCTCCATGCACGGTGACCTTCCCGGTGACCCCTGCCCTCCGTGCATGGTGATCTTCCTGGTGACCCCTGCCCTCCATGCATGGTGACCTTCCCGGTGACACCTGTCCTCCTGCCCATGGTGACCTTCCCGGTGACCCCCACCCTCTGTGCGCAGTGACCTTCCCGGTGATGCCCGCCCTCCGTGGGCGGTGACCTTCCTGGTGACCCCTGCCCTCTGTGCACTGTGACCTTCCTGGTGACCCCTGCCCTCTGACGCCCGCCCTCCGTGCGGGGTGACCTTCCTGGTGACCCCCGCCCTCTGTGCACAGTGACCTTCCTGGTGACCCCTGCCTGCGGTGACCTTCCCGGTGACTCCCGCCCTTTGTGCTGGGTGACCTTCCCGGTGACCCCTGCCCTCCATGCATGGTGACCTTCCCGGTGACCCCTGCCCGCGGTGACCTTCCCGGTGACTCCCGCCCTCTGTGCTGGGTGATCTTCCTGGTGACGCCACCCTCCTGCCGTGGTGCCGGGGTGATGCCGCCCTCCGTCCACAGGGCTGGGCCAGCACACACCCAGCATGTTTTGTGGCTTATGTGACCGCTGAGTCCTTGCCTGTGGCACCTGCGTCCCTTGGGTCACGCCGGGGTGGACCTCAGACCCTGCCCCCCGGGGTCGAGCCGGCCCGGGAACCCCAGTGTCCTCAGGATGCAGACCGTCTCTCTCCGCTTATGTCCCCCCGAAGCCCCGTGTCCAGCCCCTTGGGCTCCAGGCAAACCCGAGAGTCCCTGTGACCCCACGACCGTGTTGCAGGGTCAGCTCTGCTGGACGGGACGCATGACCTCACAGACATGCCATGACCGGACGCGCCGAGGGGCCGGGGATCAGGCTGGGCCCCGAGGACGAGGGGGTGCTCCGGGGCCTAACTGCCTGGAGGGCAGCCCGGGAGGACCCAGGGGCGGCCGTCGGCAAGCAGGTGGCTTCCCACGCACGGGGGAGGGTGCGCTCGCTTCCTGTGGCTGCGCGGGGGACTTGTCACAACGAGGGCATGAAAGCGGCAAGTCCGTGCTGTCACCGTCTGGGGTCAGAAGTCTGGCACCCGCTCACGGGGACGCAGTCAGGGCGGCCTGCCTGGAGGCGGCGGCTGTCGGAGCCATCCTGCCGGCTTCCCCGCTTCTGTCCGCCCCCTCTTCTGGGGGCACACGTGCCCGTCAACCCTGGAGAGCCCCCCTCGAGGTGCTGATTCCAACGACGTCTGCAGCCTGTGCCCCAGGACGGAGCCGACAGGCAGGTTCTGGCCTTCGCGGGCCGGACGGCGCATCCGGACGGAGCCACACGGGCGAGGCTGGAAAGAGAACCCGAGGACGCGTCCGGGCGCACGGAGCTTCGTCCCTGGGACCTTTCTGCGCAGCTGAAGCCTGTTGCGGCCGTCGCTGCCGCCGTGGATTCTCTCTCCTGACTGTCCCGGGCACGGGGTCTGGGTCCCCACGGCGGCCGGGCAGGGCCCCTCCGCAGCCGCCATCCTGTGACTCGGCGCGGCCACCGGCCTTCCACGCGGGGGCTGGACGAGAACCGGTTCGGCCTCCACGCCCGGCGCTTCTGCGAGAGGCACGGGCTTTTGAATCTCTTCGCATCCCCCCCCCGCGGGCCCGGGGCTCCCCAAGTCCACCAGGAAGCCCCATCCCCCGTGGGCGTCTCGCCCTCGCACGCACGGGAAAGGCCGTGAGCTCCTGAGGGGACGGAGGGCGAAGGTCGGGTGGCGGGCGCCGCGTACGGGGCCGACAGACCAGACCGTGTCACAGGCCCAGGTAGTGGCGGGAGGGGGACGCGGGCGGTGACGCGCGCCGTGAGGCCGGGAAGCCTGCGCGGGCTCTAACCACCCGTCTGCCTTGCCCCCTCGGACGCCGGCAGTGTGTGAACACGAGCGCCGGGGCCCCCTACCTGACCGACCACCTGGGCCACACGCTGCTGAACCTGTCCGCCTTCCCGCTGGAGGAGTACTTGCTGCTGCCGGCCGCCAAGCCCAGGTGGGTCCGCGCCGTCCCCGTCCCCGCGTCTCCCCTCCAGTCACCGGCTCGGCCCTGTCGCTCCTAAAGACGCCAAGGGATGCTGCGGGCCGTGGTGAGGCTCCTTCCGGGCGCAAATGCCACCCACAGAGGTTCGCTCCGGGCGCCAGAGGCGGGTTTCCCGCTCGGAGACCAAGGCCGTGTCGGGAGCGTCTCGACCCGTCTCCCCCTTAGCGGGGACGGCCTAGGAGGAGTCCCCCCCCCGGACGCTCCCCCCCCTGCTGCCCACCTCTTCCTTCGTTTTGTTTTTGATTTTTGAGATTGATTTATTAGAGCGAGTGTGCACGGTGGGAGGGGCGGGGGGGGATCCCAAGCTGACCCCGTGCTGGGTGCTGGGCGCAGAGCCGAACCGGGGGCTCGATCCCACGACCCCCAGATCACAAGCTGAGCCGAAGACCAAGGCTCAGACGCTCGGGTGACCGAGACCGCAGGTCCCCAGCTCCCCTCGTATCCCCAGACGCGTCCCGGAATCTGTTTTCCAAGGCGGGGGCTCGAGGGCTTGCTTGCCGGGGACTCAGTGACCCGTGGCCCATAAAAGGCCCCGGTTGCCGTCTCTCCGACGACTTCTCCCCTGAGTGAATGAACGAGTGAACGCAGGAGTGCGCCGCGCCCGGGGGGTCGTGCATCCTCACCCTGGTCGGGGCCTGGTCGGGGCCTGGTCGGGGCCTGGTCGGCCGCGTCTCCTCACCGTGCGGGCCCCGGACGGCGCGTCCCCGTGTGGAAGCCTTGGCCCTCCCTGCTGAATACTCGGGGTCCTCGGTGGACGCCCGGCTCCCGCGCCCGCCGTGCCCTCTGCGTCCCCAGCACCTGTGTGGTCGGGACCCAGGTCACACTGACCCCAGAGCCGCTCTTGGGCCGTCAGGGTGGCGACGAAGTGCCCCCGGCTGCACATGCTGGCTCACTGGGCAAAGCACGGATCCCAGGGTGGGCGTCTGCCGTTGCCTCAGGGGTGGTCCCAAGGCCCTGGGGTCGAGCCCCGTGGCAGCTCCCTGCTCACCGAGGAGCCCGCTTCTCCCTCTCCCTCTCTCTCCCTCTCAAATAAATAAATGAAATCTTAAAAAAAAAAAAAAGCAGATAAAGTACTAACAGCCGCCCCTGTTACCAGGCTTGGAGGCTGGACGTTCGGAGCGCGGATCCCTGCCCAAGACGCGGATCCAGATGCATCCCAACCCGACGCTGTGGCGAAGGTAAAGGTCTTCCTCTTTCTCCTCCCTGCATCAGGCTTCCTGCACGCTGCGCTCTTTCCCTCCTTTTCTTTCTTTTTCTTTAGAATATTTCATTTGTATGTATTTATTCATGAAAGACAGAGAGAGGCAGAGTTGAGGCAGAGGGAGAGGCAGGCTCCCTGCGGGGAGCCCGACGTGGGACTCGATCCCGGGACCCCGGGGTCACGCCCTGGGCCAAGGGCAGACGCTCCCCGCTGAGCCCCCCAGGGACCCTCTCACCCTGCTTTGAAGATAAAAATTAAACAACTGGAACAAAATGGGATAGAAAGCCCCCGACCAAGGGAAGAGACCCCGTAGTCTGTCCTCCTTGCCCCCAGTGACGCTGCTCAGGGAACCCCGGAGTCACAGGACCTTGGGTCCACCCACGCTCCCCCAGATGAGCCTAGACTGTCCTGTGGTCTGTGCTTAGTGCCAGGAGCGATTTGTTCTTTTTTTGCAGTTAAAACACCAAAAAAACCCCACAAAAAACAAAAAACAAAAAACTAGAATTAGCGACCGATCCTCTGTGACCCTAAGAACGACTTGAGGCGGAGGCGCAGTGGCGGGCTGGCGAGGGCCGTCGGGGTCTCCTTTGTGGGCGGCTCACTGGGGTGGGCGCCGGGCGCCCTGCGACCCGTCTCGTGGTCGCCTTCTCTATGTGACGCGAGCGGTGGTTCCTGACCTCGTGGCTCTCAGCTGCTCGGCCGCGGCCACTGGGGCGCTGGCGGGAACTGGGTCGTGCTGGGAGGACGTGGGGGGGCGGTTGCCCGCAAGGGGCGTGAGGCCTGGTGGCTTTGCCACTGCGGGACCTGGACGCTCCTTTGGTGGGACCTGCCAGGCGGCAGCCCTGGTCCCGTCGCCAAACACGGCCCCGTCCAGAGAAACGAGCCGTCCAGCCGGCGGGATGATGACCGGGGCCGCCAGCGGGGTCGTGGGGTCCTCGCAGCGCGGCAGCTCCCCCAACGGAATGTACAGCCCGGGGGCCCAGCGGGTAGCGCCGCCTTCAGCCCGGGGTGTGACCCTGGGTCCTGGGATCGAGTCCTGCGTCGGGCTCCCTGCATGGAGCCTGCTTCTCCCTCTGCCTGGGTCTCTGCCTCTCCCTGTGTGAATAAATAAATAAAATCTTAAAAAAATAAATAAAAAAATAGAAAAGAGTCCATTAGAATAGCGATATCCTGCAGTACAGGTCCCATCAGTGTGTTTGCTCTGTTATCTCGGCTTTCCCGGCCTCGTCTCCTGTTCTTCCTCCGTCCTCCTCCTCCCCCCGACAGGCGGCCGCGCTGCTCTATTCTCCGCACTCGGCGAACGTTCGGGTCAATGCATTTGGAGAAATAATGTTCCACATCCAGTCATTAATTTTAAAGTAATCTTTTTTTTTTTTCGGATCATTTTCTTTGCTTTTATTTTGCCGGTCAAATTTTATTAGCTTACTGACCGAGAAAGAAAGAAAAAGAAAGAAAGAAAGAAAGAAAGAAAGAAAGAAAGAAAGAAAGAAAGAAAGAAAGGAAAAAAAATGATGGGTTTAGGTTCCTTTCTCGCTGTGAAAATACGATTATAGAGCAGCATTCACATTTGTTCTGGGGAAAATCAATCTATTTTTAGCTGCAAATTATATGCTCGAGATAAATGTGAAATTAGCAGAGTGAGGGGCCTGCCCGCTGCCGGCCCGCGGGGTCGCACCCGGGCCCGACGTCCAGGCGCTGAGGCCCGTGGACTCGCGTCCTTTGCGTCTCGGGGTAGCTGACGGCGTGGGACTGACCTCACGAGACCCGTTACGTGTTTTCTTGTGTGTTTTAGGTGTGGTACAACCAGAAGGGCTTTCACTCCCTGCCTTCCTACTTGAATCACCTCAACAATCTCATTCTGTGGAGACACGTGCCCGCTGCCGAGGACTGGAGACGATACGGTAATGGCCCGTCCCGTGCAGGCGCGTTCGCTGCTCAAAAGCCAACGTTTCTTTTTCTTTTTTTTTTTTTTTTATTTATTTATGATAGTCACAGAGAGAGAGAGAGAGAGAGAGAGAGAGAGGCAGAGACACAAGCAGAGGGAGAAGCAGGCTCCATGCACCGGGAGCCCGACGTGGGATTCGATCCCGGGTCTCCAGGATCGCGCCCTGGGCCAAAGGCAGGTGCCAAACCGCTGCGCCACCCAGGGATCCCAAGCCAACGTTTCTGAAGGGGAAAGTGCGAAGACGGCGGAGCCGATGCACGGGAAGCGTGATGAGAAGGTCTTCCCCGGGCAGCCTCTTTGCGCGTGAACCCACGAGTCACACGATACCGGGGGTCGGCCTCTGGCGTCGCACAGTGTCCCCAAGCTCTTGCCGTTCGGACCCCGTCTGCGCAGTGGGGCGCAGGGATGGTGACAGGGTTCCCTCTTGAGGGCCTTGCCGTCTCACGGGAGCGAAAATCGTTCCTCTTTTTTTTTTAATAAAGATTTTATTTTTTATTTTTTATTTATTCATGATAGACATGGAAAAGAAAGGAAAGGAAGGAAGGAAAGGGAGGAAAGAAAAAGGAAGAAAAAGGAAGGAAAGAAAAGAAAGAAAGGGAGGAAAGAAAAGAAAGAGAAAGAAAAAAGGAAAGAAAGGAAAGGAAAGAAAAAGGAAGAAAAAGGAAGGAAAGAAAAGAAGAAAGGAAGGGAAGGAAGGAAGGAAAGAAATGAAGGAAAAGAAAGAAAGGAAAGGAAAGAAAAATGAAGAAAAAGGAAAGAAAGAAAAAGAAAGGAAGACAGGAAGGGAGGAAAGGAAAGAAAAAGGAAGAAAAGGAAAGAAAGGAAAGGAGGGAAAGGAGAGAAAAGAAAGGAAAGGAAGGAAGGAAAGAAAGAGAAAGAAAGAAAAAAGAAGCTTATTTGGAAAAATTGACCCAAGGTCATGTCCGGAATCCAGAGTGACTTGATTGACTTAAGGGGGGGGGGGGGCAGGCTGCAATTCATCAAATTCTTTCAGCTTCTCAAAAAAAAAAAAAAAAAAGATTAAAGAAAGCAGCGGCTGCAGGAGCATGGACGGGCGCAGCCGCCGGCTTCACTACAGCGTTTCCTGTTTCCGCATCGATTCCAGGGAAGTAAATCCAAAGCGATTTCCCGGGTGTCCTCACTTTTCCCCACTTCATCTTTTTCCTCCCGGTTTGTTTCCCGCCAAGTGTGTAATGAAGCGAGGCGGATCCTTCGGCGGCGCCGTCACCGCGTGGGAAGCTGGTGGGGAATGCGCAGGAGGAAACACGCTGGTGCCCAAGGGCAGTGGGCCTCGGGGAGGGCAGCAGGCGGCGCCCGGGCCTCGAGCGTGGGGTCCCCGGGAGACACGGTGCCCGCGGCGTCCCCGCGCGGACGGGGGCCTTGTAGGGCGGCCGCGTCAGCCCGCCGCGCTGCTCAGAGGACGAGGCCCAGCGGGACCGGCCACCGGCGGGCTCTGGGGCCCTGGGCCCGAGGTCAGGCTGACGTCAGAGCCGTGACCCCACGACTCCCGCGAGTCGAGAGCTCACGTCCTGGGGACGAGGAGAGCTGCGCCCTGGGGCCGGGACCCCGGCCGAGGTCGAGTGAGAGCAGGTCGTAGCCGCGCGGGAGTCGTGCTGTCCTCTCGGCTCAGGGCTGGGGTCCGGCACGGCCTGGTCGCCCGCCTGGCCTCGTCCGACAGAGGGAGGACCGTGCGCCTCCGCGGCGGCCTTCCCCTGTGTCCGAGGATGAGCGCGAGGACCAGGACCGGTGCCCGGGCTGGAGGGCGGAGGGCGGAGGGCGGTCGCCGCCAAGCCACCTGTCGGCCGAGCGCTCCCCCGAGTCGGCGTTCCACGGGCCTCTGGCACGACGCGGGAGGGAAAATACATGAAATCATAAAGTTCAGACGGATGGGAGCCAAGGTTAGTGTTAGTTTTGGGGAAAGGAGAGAATTCAAAGGGCCGGCAGCTGCAGGGGGCAGTGGGCGGTGTCCTCGGGGCCTGCGTCTCCCGCCCCGTCGCCAAGCACCGCGGGAGCGTGGGGCAGCCGCAGAGGCTAGGGTCATGCAAGGTCGGTCGGCGCGAGTGGTTCAGAGGATCAGAGCTTTCCTCTCGTTAGAGAGTGGACCCCGGGCGTCCGCGGGGAGGGACCCCAGCCCCAGCCGTCCATGGAGAGCGACCCCAGGTGTCCACATAGAGCAACCCCCAGGTGTCCACGGAGAAGGATCCCAGCCGTCCACGGAGAGGGACCCCGGCCGTCCACGGAGAGGGACCCCGGGTGTCCACGGAGAGCGACCCTGGGTGTCCACAGAGAGTGACCCTGCCCATCCATGGAGAGTGACCCCAGGTGTCCACATAGAGCAACCCCCAGGTGTCCACGGAGAAGGATCCCAGCCGTCCACGGAGAGGGACCCCGGCCGTCCATGGAGACGGACCCCGGGTGTCCACGGAGAGCGACCCTGCCCATCCATGGAGAGTGACCCCAGGTGTCCACATAGAGCAACCCCCAGGTGTCCACGGAGAGGGACCCCGGGTGTCCACGGAGAGTGACCCTGGGCGTCCATGGAGAGGGACACTGTCCACAGAGAGTGACCCCAGCTGTCCATGGAGTGTGAGCCTGGGCATCCATGGAGAGGGACCCCGTCAGTCCACAGAGAGGGACCCGGCCGTCCACGGAGAGCGACCCCGGGTGTCCACAGAGAGCGTCCATGGAGAGGGACCACGGGCGTCCATGGAGAGTGACCCCGTCCGTCCATGGAGAGAGACCCTGGGCGTCCACGGAGAGGGACCCGGCCGTCCATGGAGAGGGACCCGGCCGTCCACGGCGACGCGTACCATGTTACCGGTGGGGAGAGCAGGGCCCAGACGTCAGCGGGGAGGCTGAGTAGACGAGGTGGCCGTCACGGACGCTTCACCTCGGTCATGAGCACCTGGTTAGGTGACTTCCGACGGGCTCTGCGGCCACCCGAGGACCGACGGCACCGCGTGGATGCGCCACGGAAGAGCCACGCTGGAATGATCGGAGACGGCCCGGAGTTCACGCGCGCTCGTCCCTCCCCTGCCCGGCCCGGCCGGTGGGGCCTTGCAGACGTCCCCGGTCCCCGGTCCCCGGTCCCCTCCTGGGATGGGAGGCAGTGGAGCACACAGGATGCGCAGTGGGGCCGCGGGCTTGGCCTGCCCCCGGCAGGACTGGGTGTGCTGCGTAGACGGAGCTGCGGAGGAGGAGGAGCCAGGCAGGGGCTGTGCCGACCGAGAGCAGTGGCAGCTGCAGAGGGAGCCCGTGCCTCAGTGCCTCAGGGTCGCGCGTCGCGTGGGCCCGTTCCTCGCCGCGCCTGCCGACAGCAATCAGACGACCAAGTGCACTCGGAGCTACGCGGGCAGACGTCTTCTCTGCAGACCGCCGAGGCGACGAGAGCCCCTTGCCGTCCTCGTGGCTGACGCGGGGGCTCCCCAGGGCTCCTCAGGGCCGCCCGAGGCTACGCGGACCGCACTGGTTTCCCGCAAACGGGGCCCGCTGGGATCCGGAGAATCAGGCTTGTGGCTCTCAGTCGGCTGCGTGTGGCCTCGGGGAGTCCCTACCACGTCCCTCTGCCTCAGTTTCCCCCCTTGTGCGCCCCTCCCCTGCGTGGGCGCAGTCGCCCCGGGTCCAGGTCGAGGCCTGTGCGCCGACAGGTGCGTGGGGAGGATGCGGATCCTCAGAGGTCCCCCTGCGGCCCGCGGGGGTCGGGGAGTCGGCATCGTCTCTGAGCAGCCGTGAGGGGGCGCGGAGCTCCCCGCACTTACCAGCGGGGTTTGTTCCCCTAAACCCGTCTTACCTTGAAAATATCCTCAAAGATGCACTTAACGCACGGAGCCCCTGGGTGGAGGGGAGGGGCCCGGGTGGGTGCTGGGGTCTGGATGGAGGGGAGGGGCCCGGGTGGGTGCTGGGGGACCTGGGCGGACGGGAGGGGGGCGCCGTGGGGGCCCAGAGGTCTGGCCGCCGTGGGGTCCGGGGCTCGCAGGCTCACCCTGTGACGTGTCTTCCGCAGGAATAGCGCTGTTCAGCCACCCGTACGGAGGCGCCCTGCTGAACGAGGACAAGATGTGAGTTGGGGGACCGCCGGGCGAGGCGGCCTGGCGGGGGCGGAGCTTGGGTTCTAGGGGTGACTCGGTGGCCCGCTGCGCCGCCCCACGATGCCGGCTTGGGCGTTTCTTTGCCGTTTCTTGGCCGTTTCTTTGCCGAGGGTGACGACAGCGGCCACTGGGGGACGGGCGTTGGCCTGAGCTGGAAACGGAGGAGCGTCCGGACTCCCCGTGTGATCGTTGTCCCAAGGGCGTGAGCTCCAGGAAGCTCGGGCCCCGTCTCCCAGATGCTCCTTGGGGCGCCGTCTTATTCCAAGGACTTTATTTTATTTATTAGAGACAGAGAGAGCAGGGGCAGGGCAGGGGAGGGGAGAGGGAACCTCAAGCGGACCCTTCTCGGAGCTCCGAGCCTGACGCGGCTCGATCCTGGGACCCGAGACCCTGACCTGGGCTGGAGGCGGGTGCTCCCCCCCCCCGCGCCGAGCCCCCGGGGCCCTAGAGATTTAAGCCATGTCTTCACTTCAGGTGGGATTCGAATTCACACCCTGAGGTCGAGGCTTGCACGTGCCACCGTCTGAGCGGCGGGCGCCTGGGGCGTAGGGTCAGCCACGGTGTGGGTGTACCTTGGGGGAGGGAGGGCGCACCTGCCCGTCCCCCCCTTTTCCACGCGCCTGGAAATCTGTGTGTAACTCGGCTCCCCGAAAACTTAGCGGCGGCGTCGGTCGCGTCCTCCCAGGACCTGCCGACCTGCGCTGGAGCCGCGGGCTGATGGGCGCCCGCTTCCCGGGTGTTAGAGCAGCAGCAGCGCCGGCAGGTCGACCTCCCGCCCCACGGGGATGCTCGCGGGCCCTGTGGGCTCCCGGGGAGGAAGGTGCAGCGCGGGGGCCGCAGGGGGGCAGCCGTGTCTACCCGGCCCCTCGGAGTTGCTGGGGCGCCCTGGGGGCTCAGGCCGTGACCCCGGGGTCCTGGGATCGAGTCCCGCGTCGGGGTCCCTGCCTCTCTCTGCGTCTCTCGTGGATAATAAAGTCCTTAAAGGTGGAAGCCCCCGGAGAGCCCCTCGGCCCCCGCAGGCCCTCGGGAGGCCCCGGGAAGGCGCCCTCCTGGCACAGGTGCCTCGCTGGGTTGGGGCTGGGCTGGGACTGGGGGCGCCATCCTGCCCCGGGGGGGTCGTGGGAGGTCGCTGCGGGTGCTGGCCCCCCACCCCCGGCCCTGACACCCGCCTTCCCCGCAGCCTGGAGAGCATCCGGCAGTGCGGCGTGGCGCTGTGCATCGTGCTGGGCTGCGCGGTCCTCACCGCCGCCCTGGGCAGCTCCGTGGTGCACGACCGGGCCACCGGCGCCCTCAGGCTGCAGCGCATCAGCGGCCTGGGACACGCCACCTACTGGCTCGCCAACTTCCTCTTCGATGGGGTAGGCTGCGGGGGGGCGGGGGGGCAGGGGGGAGGGGAGGGGGGCGGGGAGGGGGAGGCCCTGGGGCTGCCACGGGCCACAGGCTTCGCCCCCACCCCGACCTGGGCCCGCCCCACCCCCACCCTGGGACACGGACCCCCCACTCTGCCCCCCGCACTCCTCCCCCCACACATGGCCTGGCTGAGGTGCTGCAGGGGCAGGTCCCGCTCCCGTCCTCCACCTTCCCCGCCCCCCCCCCCCCGTCCTCCCCCCTTCCCTCCCCTCCCCTCCCCCCGCCCAGTGCAGGCCTTGCCCGGACTCACCCTCTGCTCCCGGCCGCGTGAGTGTGTCCTCCCCATCCACCCGCCCCGCGCCCCCCCACCTCGGTCACGTGTGTAGGGACCCACCCTCCGGGGCGAGCAGGGTCACCGACCGACAGGGGAGGGTGCTAGGCGGGGGGGTTCTCAGAGTACGGAGCCCGGCCCGCGCCCTTGACCCCTTGCCCGTGCACATGAACGCAGCTCACGCCCTTGACCCCGGCCCACGCCCTTGTCTCCGGCCTGTGCCCTTGACCCTGGCCTGCGCCCTTGACCCTCTGCCCACACCCTTGACCCCCTACCCATGCCCTACACCTGGCCCATGCCCTTGACCCCGGCCTGCACCCTTGACCCTTGCCCACGCCCTTGACCCCTGCCCATGCCCTTGACCCCGGCCTGCACCCTTGACCCTCTGCCCACGCCCTTGACCCCCTGCCCATGCCCTACACCTGGCCCATGCCCTTGACCCCGGCCTGCACCCTTGACCCTTGCCCACGCCCTTGACCCCTGCCCATGCCCTTGACCCCGGCCTGCACCCTTGACCCCCAGCCCTGCCCGTGAGGCGGCTCCTCTTTATCCTGCGATGCCCGCCCTGGGGCTGAAGGGCAGGGAGGGTGCTTGTCTTCCCCGGTGACCCTGTTTCCATCGTCAACCCATCGGTTCCCGTCTACATAGTGGATCAAACCACTCATTTAGCAGTTTTGTGGCTCCGTGTGGGCGAGGTGCATCCACGGTGCAGGGACACATTCGCGGCCCCCAGGGCCTGCATGACCGCAAGAGGCCACAGGAGGACAGCGGCAGGGGCATGGGACCCGGGGGGAGGGGGGCAGGGGCACATCCCTGAGTGCACGTGGGGCAGAGGCCAGGGTCCTGGGAGGTCCTGGAAGGTCTGGGAGGTCCCAGGAGGTCCCAGGAGGTCCCGGATGGTCCCGGTGGGTCCCAGAAGGTCCTGGGAGGTCCCCAAAGGTCTTGGAAGGTCCAGGAGGTCCCAGTAGATCTCGGAAGGTCCTGGTAGGTCCCAGGAGGTCCCAGAAGGTCCTAGGAGGTCCCAGTAGGTCCCGGAAGGTCCTGGTAGGTCCCAGGAGGTCCCAGAAGGTCCTAGGAGGTCCCAGTAGATCCCGGAAGGTCCTGGGAGGTCCCAGGAGGTCCCAGAGCGGCCGGAGCACTGCTGTGGTTTCCCAGGGCCGTCCCCTGACGGTGCACCTGTACCCCCAGTGCGGGAGGCGGGATGCCCCAGACCCCGGCCTCTGTCCCACGCACGTGGTGGCGCCTTCGTTCGTCCTGCGTCCTTGGGTGTGTCCGCGTCCCGATGTCCTCCTCTGTCGAGGCCGCTCCGGGGGCCCGTTCAGGGCCGCAGCTTCACGCCCAGTGACGGGCTGAGGTCCCAGGTTGTCCGTGGGGGGCCGGGAGGTGGCAGCTCTCTCTCCAGGACTCTCCCCGGCTGCCCGCCTGTCACCGCCCAACCCGGGTGGGACGTCACCCCCCCCTTGTTTCCCCAGGTCTTTTACTTGGTCTCCGTGAGCCTGTGTGTGGCCGTCATCGTCGCCTTCCAGCTCCCGGCGTTTACGTTCCGCCAGAACTTGGCAGCCACCGCCCTCCTGCTGGCGCTCTTCGGGTACGTGCGGGGGACGCGGCCGCAGGGTTACGGTCTGTTTTCCGCTGGAGAACCTCCTGGGTGGCTTTGGACCTGCTGCCGGCTGCATGATTTTCTCTTTTCGAGCAATTCTGCGGCTTCTCGGAGGGCCGCGTGGACGGCCGGGGCGGGTTGGCGGTGCCCCACGGCGGAGGCGGTGGCTGCAAACTGCCTCCGAGGGAGAGTGTCGCGGAGGCCGCGGGCGCACGTGGGGCCTGGAAACGGGCCGCCCGGCTTCCCGGGTCTCCTGGGGGGCACAGCAAGGGCGCCGCCCGCACTGCTCGCTTCCGTGCCCCCAGCGGCCAGGGTCGTCGCTCGCTGTCCCCGTAACACGTCCCTGCACGTCCGATCCAGGCCGAGCCGCGAGAGACACTCGTCAGGGGGACGGAGCGTCTCTAACGGACTCGTTTATTATAACGCGAGCGAGTCTTTGATTTAAAACCCCGTAAAGCCAAACACGAGTGAGATGACCGTATGCAGCTCACGGCGACGCTGGGGACCCAAGACACTTGGTTAGGGGACAGGGTCCAACGTAAGCGACTGTTCCCGTGGCTGGACAGACGGCGTGGGAGACAGACAGGCAGACGGCTCCTTCCGGGAGTCGTGCACTCTGGGGCCCGGACTCGGCCGCGCGTGTGGGATCCCGCGTCTGGGGACTCGGCGGCTCAGGTGAGGATCCAGGGGCGCGGACGGTGCCGTCGAGCTCCCCACGGCCGGACGAGACACGCTGCGCCCTGCCTTGATTTTGAGCTTCGGGAACGCGGAGGTCGCAGGGCTTGGAGCGAGGCGGCGCCGGGACAGGGGCGACAGCTTACAGAGCCCTACGGTGCGGCCCGAGCCCGGGACAGACGGCGCGAGGCCCCGACCTCCGGCCGCGTTTGCAGCGGAAGCATTTTCTGGGGGATTCGGGGAGACTCCGAGATCCCTTGATGTTCGGCCTGGCCCAGGCCGCGGGGCTCCGGGGAGGAACCCTGAGGCCAGGTGGCCCCGATCACCCCGGGCGGCCGGCGGGAATCCCAGGGCCACGTCCCCACGGCCGCGGCTTTGTTCCTCACTGGGTCCCCGCCTCGGCTCACTGCCATCCCCAAGGGTGGGACGGGGACCCCCGAGGACAGCGCCGGGAAGGCTGGCCCCAGAGTGACCCCCAACCTGAGGACGTTACAGGCCTCTCCGGGGCCTTGCCGTTGGACCGGGCTTGGGATCCGAGGAAACCCGGGGTCGGACAAGCCCGGAGAGTCTCCAAGACACACGGAAAAATGCCCAGTGACATTTTTTTTTTAAATACTCCTATTGTCTTGGCCCTGGAAAACTTGATATTTTAGCTGGAAAGTGGGGAGAATTAGCATCAAAAAGAGGAAAGGAATGTTGGAAACAAAAGAGCATCAGCTCCTGTAAACCTTTGAGCAAAGGTAGAAACTGTTGCAGGCCCCCGGGGTTGCCCTAAAATAGGTTAAGCTCTAGGAGCCGGTTTAACTTTTTTCCTTTAAAGATTCTATTTATTTATTTGAGGAAGGGAGAGAGAGGGAGGGTGAGCGCAGGAATAGGAGGAGGAGCAGAGGGAGAAGCAGCCGCCACGGGGCTCGAACCCAGGACCCGAGATCATGACCTGAGCTGAAGGCAGACGCTTCCTCGACAGAGCCCCCCAGGCGCCCCCCTTTTTAACATTTTTCTTAAAAAAATAAAAAAAGAAAGATCCTGGAGCTGCCACGATGGGGATTTGAATCAAGTATTTGAGGTGACTAATGAACACGTAGAAAAAAAAGGATGCACGGCGGCCAGACACCCGACCCGAGGCCTGTTCCCAGATGCGACCGGAGCAGCTCTGCTGCAGGTGCCGCCGGTGACGTCGTTGCCTAAATAAGTGACGCCGTGACCTGAGCCGTGTGGACACTTGACCCCCGGAGTCTGGAAGAGTCACAGGGGCGGGGGCTGGGGGCTGGGGATTCGCATCGGGCTCCCGGGGGACCACGGAGGCCGTCATCCTGCCGCTTCGTGCACAGGGCGCGTGGGAGGGAGGCTGCGACCTGCGGCGGGTGGCGGGTGAGGCTGGCGCCGTGTCCTCGAGCGGGGCGCTGGGCCGCGTGGCCGTGGGTGAAGACGCAGCCTCGTGGCCGCCGTGGTCACCTCGCCGCCCGTCAGGCCCCGTGAACGCCTTCCCGTCTGCAGGGGGACCACGGCCCCCTCCGCCCAGGCCGTTGGACACGGGGAGGGTGCGGGCCCGCGGGACGGGACACGGGGAGGAGCCGAGAAGGAGCTTTCTGGTTTTACCTTCATGCCTTTAGGCTGATTTATCAGAGCGGGTGCAGGGGACAGCGGGGGAGCGGGGGAGCCTGTGAGCGCAGCCTGGGGCGGGGGGGGGGGGGGCACGACCCCGAGGTCACGACCGAGCCCGCTCAGGGCCCTCCTCGGCTCTGCTGCTCCCCGTCGGCGGCCGCCGTCGGTTCTCGCTTCACTGACGGGAACCGGGGTGAGAAGCAGGAGCCGGGCTGGCCCCCGGGGAGGTGTGGGCACCCCGGGTGGCCCCCAGGTCGTGGGGCTGCCCCGCTGGCGGCCGTTCCCCGCTGCTGCCGTCAGGCCAGGGCCCCGCGTGGGCTCGGTTCAGGGAGCCCAGGGAGCGGCGACCGGGCCCGCACCTGCACCTGCGCCTGCGCCCGCACCTGTACGCCAGCGAACCTTCGGGAGGACAGTCTGACCTGCCCCTGCCCTGCAGGTACGCGACGCTCCCGTGGATGTATCTGATGTCCAGGATCTTCTCCAGCTCGGACGTGGCCTTCATCTCCTTCGTGTCCCTGAACTTCATCTTCGGGCTGTGCACCATGCTCATGACCATCATGCCCCGGCTGCTGGCCATGGTCTCCAGAGCGCAGGTCGGTGGGCTCCAGCAGCGCCTCGCGGGGCGGCGGGGGGGTGGGGGGCGCCGGCCCGGGCCCCTCGGGGGGCTTTTCCAGCTGGAACTACGGGAGAACGGGCCGCCAGCCGCGGTCTTTAACCCCCAGAAAGTTTGCACCCCTGCCTCCGCCCGCTGCCCCTCTGTGCTGCCGGCCTGCCCCTGATTCCTCCGTCCGGGGCGTGGGACGGACCAGGGGCTGCGAGCTCAGCCTGGCGACCGCCCAGCCCTCCCGGTGCAGGCCGTGCGGCGGGGCCGTGTCGGGTGCTTGGGGACAGCGGCTTGCGTCCCTGGGCAGGCTCGCTTGCTCCGGCCTGGGCGCAGGGACCGGCGGCTCGGGGTCACTGCCGGCTGCTGCCAAAGCCCTTGGTGCGGCGACACTGTCCTGCGCTCAGCAAAGGGAATGATCCATTTGGCTGATGTCATCCGACCCGGGGTTGGCGCGTCCCCGCGTCGCAGGGGCCCCGTGGCCCAAGGAGGGACGGGGAGCAGGCTCGGGGCGGACACTGCCCGGGGGGGACAGGCGAAGCCCTGGGGACGGGATCACAGGAGGAGGCGCGGGGGCCTCGGCGTCTGCGGTCTTGCAGCCGCCGTCAGCGTCCAGGGACGCGCCGCTCCTACGTCCTAACTGGGGAGAGAAGCAGCTCTGGTGTGGTCCGTTATTTGATTCGGGGACACCGTTCCCCAAAAGCTGCGGTTATAAGCCCGTTTAGGACGGGCTGGCGTCCCCGATGAGCGGCAGATAGGACAAGAGCTAAGGGAAGAGTCCGATGAGGCCCCCGTGCTGCTTCCCTGTGCGCGCGGAGACGAGGCCTCGCATGAGACTTCACACCCGCGATCGCGCGCTCTGCGGCTCCCAAGTCACCTTATTCACGACTGCGTTTATTTGATTTTCTGTTATTTAATTATTTAAACGTTTATTTGAGAGCACGCATGCACGCGAGAGAGAGAGAGAGAGAGAGAGAGGGAGGGAGGGAGGGAGAGAGAGAGGAGCAGAGGCAGAGGGAGGAGCAGACTCCCGCCGAGCGAGGAGCCGATGCAGGACTCGATCCCAGGCCCCCGAGACCGTGACCTGAGCTGCAGGCAGGGGTGTGAGGTCTGAGCCCCCGCGTGCCCCTCGGACCACACCTGCTGGGTGCACCTGCGCTGCTCTGTGCATTGATTGAGGGTGAAGTGCAGTGAAGTCCATGGAGGTGGGAGCACAGGGTCCTTTACAGAAGGGCCTAGCGGGCGACGGCTGACACGGCCCCAGGACTAATCTCATGGTGAGATGAAGCCGACGTCCACGGCACACCGGATGGTAAAAAAAAAAAAAAAAAAAAAAAGTGGATTTTAGGGGAGATGTTGAAGCTCAGACATTTAAGATTGGCATCGAAAATAAAAAAAATAATAAAACTGACCGGATCCAACCCGGTCCTCTCCCTCAGGCCCCACCTCCTAGTACCATCACCCCGCAGGGTCGAGGGCGTGGTGCTTAGGGGGGCACCTGTGAATTTGCAGGGCACGTCCCCTCCGTCAATGCCCCCAGATCACGTTCTGCTCACAGGAAAAATACCTCCATGTATCCCCCGAGCCCCCCGGAGCCCTGACTTACTCCAGCATCACTCGCAAGTCTTCCCCGACGTCTCACCTGCTCAGGTGTGGACGTGGCTTTAGGCGTGAAGCATCGTGAGACGGAAGCGCCCTCCATCCGGGAGCCCGCGAACCCCAGGTCCCGTGCTTCCTTCCGCAGCGCGACCGTGGACGGGCTCAGGGCGGACTTGCACGTTCCCAAAGCGGGACACGGAAGGGGGAAGCGGGTGAGGGCTCCCCGGGCACGTCCGCCGGCCCAGCCAGGCAGACCCGGCAGACCTGAGGCTCCGGAACAAAACCGTCTGGGTCGGGGGCCGTGTGCGCCCTCCAAGGCGCCGGCAGGGAGCCTGGGACACGGGCCCCGCAGGGAAGCGGGGGCGCGGAGAGCTTGACCTCCTCCCCGTTCGTGTCCCTGCACAGAATTTACAGAAGATCTACGACGTGCTCAAGTGGGCGTTCACCGTGCTGCCGCAGTTCTGCCTCGGGCAGGGCCTGATCGAGCTGTGCTACAACCAGATCCGGTACGACCTGGCCCACGGCTTCGGCATCGATTCCTACGTGAGCCCCTTCCAGATGGACTTCCTGGGCTGGATCTTCGTGCAGTTGGCCGCGCAAGGCACCGTGCTCCTCCTGCTCAGGGCTTCGCTGCAGTGGGACCGGCTGCCGCGGCCACGGTGCGGCGTGGGCTCGTCCCGGGGGGTTGGGGGGTGGGGGTGGGGTGGGGGTGGGGGTGGGGGGCTCCATCCAAGGTCGCAGGACACCCAGTGCGTCCGGCCAGCGTGGGCCGCGCTGCCAACGGGGGAGGCTTCGGGTTGATGCTGCTTTTTCTTTCCGTCTTTCTTTCGTTCCTTTTTGCTTTTTGGACTGATGTGAGTCACCACCGCTAGGAAGGCGGACGTGGCAGTGCCAAGCGGCGACACGATCGTTCTAATTATTTAATTTTCCCCTTTGAAATTGCTGACTTTCCCTCTTACTTTGATTGTAGCATCTAGGCGACTTCAGTGGACACCACAAATTATTCTTCTTTCTTTCTTTCTTTCTTTCTTTCTTTCTTTCTTTCTTTTCTTTCTTTCTTTTTTCTTTTTCTTTCTCTTTCTTCTTCCTTCCTTCCTTCCTTCCTCCCTTCCTCTCTTTCTTCCTTCCTTCCTTTTTCTTTCTTTCTTCCTTTCTCTTTCTTTCTATTTTATTTCTTTCTTCCTCTTTCTTTCTTTCTTTCTTTCTTTCTTTCTTTCTTTCTTTTCTTTCTTTCTTTCTTTCTTTCTTTCTTTCTTTCTTTCCCTTCCTTCCTTCCTTCCTTCCTTCCTTCCTTCCTTCCCTTCCCTTCCCTTTCCTTTCTTCCTTTCTTTCTTTTTTTCTCTTTCTTTCTATTTATTTATTTATTTATTTATTTATTTATTTATTTATTTATTTATTTAAAAAAGATCTTATTTATTTGTTTGAGACACAGAGCGTGCTCCCACACAGAGGGAGAGGGAGACACAGACTCCCCACCGAGCCGGGGTCCCCAATGCGGGGCTCAGTCCCAGGCCCCCAGGATCGTGCCCTGACCCGAAGGCCAATCCTTAACCGACTGAGCTCCCCAGGTGCCCCTAACGTATTTTATTTTTATGGCTCAATGGCATTAACTCCTAAAAATCAGGGATGAATGGAAGGTCAGCCCTGACAACCGCCTGCCCTTTGCCAAATCCCTTTGCTGTTGACACTGATCTTCTCTGTTAGGTGACGAACGTCGAGGAGCACGAGGAATACGTGTTGTGTGTCAATACTATGACATTTGCACGCGCGTCTCGTGTTTAGCGACGTAACCGTGCGTAGCATATAATATGTTTACATTTCCTTTGACGTGTCCGTTCCTGTGTTTGTGGCCCGTCTGCACACACACACGTCCCTGTTACTCTAAGCGGGACATCAGGCGGCCTTGCGGGAGCGTCTAGAGTATTGTCGGCTAACACGCCGTGGACGCGTGGGGAAGAATGTGCGTTTGCACGCAGGCCTCACAGAGCTGCGCGTGCCCCTCCGTGGCCCGCGTGGCCTGCGTCCGTGCACCCGCTCTTCCCAAGCGCTGCACGCTTCTCTCTAACGTCAACTACAAGAGGATCCTTCGTGGAGAAGTGACTTACTAGGGCCGTGTCCCTGGAGAGCCTGTTGAGGACGGGGGCCGCGCTATGAGCGTTTGTGGTGATGCCTTTGTGGGATTGTTGCCGCCAGTCGCTTCGTGACATGCTTCCTTTGTCGATCCTTCCAATCTGCTGAAGACTCGGACCCCAAAGCTCTCCTGAATCGGCCACAATCACGCCGGAGGCTGCGGATACCCAGCGTTGGCCTGGATTTGGAAGAGAATTCTGAGCGCCTTTCAAACACGACTGGTTCTGTGATGGGCCCTCACGCGTCTAATCTGTTTTAAAGCCTAGACCGCAGCGTCCCGTCGGGTGGATTCCAGGAGGGCCCCTCCTCCGGGAGCATCAGAAGACTTGTTTTCAGAAGGGAACCCGTCCTGGATTCCTTTGCACAGCGTAGGATAAACCGTATTTTGGAATACGGCTCCTGCCCTCCGGGCTGAATCGTCACGTGGAGGCGGCAGGGCGGCGACGCTCCGACCGAGATGCTATTCCCGGGCACCGCCGCACGGAGGGCTCCTGCAGTGGGCGTCTCACTGCATTGCAGTATTTTTCAGATCCACATCCGCCCGGGCCCGCTAATCACTGCCCAAATGGGGAAATCCGGGGTTCTTAGCCCGGTGCCCTCAGGGGGGCATGTCACGCCCATGAAGCCCTCCAAGACCGTCCCCTCCCCCCTTGGGGGGCATTTGCCCCCGGTCACCTGCTCATTCGGGGTCTCTGGCAGGCTGGCATCACCCACGCCCCAGGCGGGCCCCAGCGTTGTCCTGTGCTGTGTACATGTGCCGCACTCCCCGCCACCATCGGGTCCTTCGTGGGCTGGTGGAGCTGAATCCTGGGAGTGAATAGGAAGACCTGCCCCTCGTGCCCGGGAGGGACGTGCCCGTCTCCCCCGCGCCCCATGGGCTGTCGTGACCGGCCCCTGCCGCTGGCCCTGGGTGCTGGGTGAGGGGCCCCTCCTTGCTGTCACCCCAGCCAGCCCCGGCCCTGAGCTGAGCCCTGCTGCTCCCTGTGGGGCTCTGCTCAGAATCCAAGTCTCCACGAGAAGCCGAGCCCTGGCCGAGCGGCAGGCGGGCTGGGGGCGTCCTTGTCCCCTCTTGGTCTGGAGCTGGACCTGGGTCTGGCTTGGTGGGGGGCTGCGCGCAGGCTGGTGGCCCAGGACGGCCTTTCTCTGCTGCCACTGGCCGTGCCGACTCTGTGCCCGCGCGCGTCCTTCCTCCGGGACGTGGAAGCAGAGGCGCGTTTCTGAGCATGGCTGGGTGGACTGTGTTGTCGGGAGTGCCCGCGAAGTGACCGCTACAATGACGGGAGGTGTGAACAGCTGCACTTTCCTGCCCCTGCCCCCTCATAACCCTGCGACCAGAAGCTCTGGGGATGAGCCTGAGGGGCTCCCAGGTGCTTCCCATGGGGAGGAGGTCAGAGCCGCTGCTGGGGGCTCCTGGGGAAGGGCCTGTTCTCTCCTCCTGGACTCAGAAAAGGACGGCAAAGGCCAGGCCAGCTGAGGGTCCGGAGACACGCTGCAGCCGGCAAAAGGGGAAGGAACCAGCAAACACAGGAGCGTGGAATCGGATTCGTCTTCACAACGTGAACACACCTGCATCCCCTTCTCCCGCAGGGAGCGCCGTCCGCGTCTCCTCCGCCCTGTTCCATTAGCCACTCTGCATGACCCCCGTCCTTGGGTGGCTTAGCACATTAACAACCATTATGTTTTATTAATTAAAATACATTAAGGTCAAGGGCGCCTGAGGGGCACAGTCGGTTGAGCATCTGGCTCTTGGTTTCGGCTCAGGTCGTGATTTCAGGGCCCTGGGATCGAGCCCCGCGGTGGGCTCTGCGCTCGGCACGGAGTCGGCTTGAGAGTCTCTCTCTGCCCCTTCCCCCGTCTAAAAATAAAGAAGTAAATCTTAAAAGAATGCATCAAGCTCACACACAGCCTGAGTTCTACGCTTCAAATCTGCTGTGGGGTCCTCCCTCCCAGCACAGAATCCAGGTTCTCCAGGGCACCCCGTGCCGATGGGATGGTCGCGCGGCACCGATGCCGTGATTCACCACTGATCTCATTGTCTCTGGTGATTTGTGTCTCGTGCTTTTGAACATTATGTGACTGGTGTCACGTATTCCCTCATCTTGTAGGTTGTGTGTTGAGTAGATTTTACATTCGTTCGATGGTAATTTTCAGGAGCAGAAAAAAATAATACAGAGAAAGGACCTAGGGCCCTGGGAGCTGGCCGCGGGTATTTTATTTTAAATGCCTTTTATTTTACAATAGTTCAAGGCTCGCGAGACGTTGCGGAATCCTTAGGGTCCCTGTGCGCCCTTGACTCCGCTCCTCCCACTGGTCCCATGGCAGTTTGGTTGATGTCACATGACAGCATCACATTGGTGAAAACCAGGAAATTGATTTCGGCACAACCTTAACTGGGTGTCTGCGCCCATTTAATGATTAAAATATTGGCGTGTCGCAGTTTACAGGGGAAGTTGAAATTTAAACTTAAAGTGCGCCAGGTTGAATTTCATACGGAAGATCGAGAAGGGAGCAGCTCAGATTTAGAACAGATTAATTTGAATCGAAGGTTAAATTTGTATCCACCTGACAAATACTCACTAAATCCATCCTGCACGGTGTTGTGCGCAGTACTTACCGTACGATCCTCCTTCACAATCCAGTGTGTACTATGCAACTATGATGTTTAGGCTCTTTCATGTGCCTACTTTGTTCAAGTGGCCTGTTTGCTAAAAGTGCTTAAACAGAACGACTCCTTGCAGATATTTTGTGATGCATCCTTTTCCCACCTTGTGCAAAAGTCTGGCATGGCTTTATTGTCCGTAAAATAAAGGAGTAGCTTGGGACGCCCAGGAGCTCAGCGGTTGAGAGCCTGCCTTCAGCCCAGGGCATGACCCCAGGGTTCCGGGATCGAGTCCTGCATCGGGCTCCCTGCATGGAGCCTGCTTCTCCCTCTGCCTATGTCTCTGCCTCTCTCATGTCTCTCATGAATAAATAAATAGAATCTAAAAAATAATAATAATAAAAAATAAGGGAGTAGCCCTAGTGGGACATCTACCCACCTCACTGTCTTTTAGGAACATGGACATTTCCTTCACGTTACGGACTCTTACTCATTATTTATTTATTTTTAAGATTCTATTTACTTCCTTGAGAGAGAGAGCACCTGAGCTGGAGGGAGAGGGAGAAAGAGAATCTGAAGGAGGCTCTATGCTGAGCCCAACGTGGGGCTCGATCTCACGACCTTGAGATCACGACCTAAGCTGACACCAAGAGTCGGCTACTTCATCCCCTGAGCCACCCAGGGGCCCCAGATCCCTGCTGATTCTTAATCGTGATGCAGAAGTGGGGTGCCTGGACCAGAGCTGAGAGTCCACGTGCAGGACCACATCTCCCGTTTCCACAGGTTTCTGACCTTCCTCTTGACTCTTCCTTTTCCACGTGAAGTAACTCTGACCTCGTCTCCCCAGGGGTCGCTCTGCCATCCAGGGCACAGTCACACCTTCCAAGGACGTAGATGTGGAAAAAGAGCAAATAAGAGTGTTGAAAGGAAAAACCAGCGAAGACCTTCTTGTGTTATGCAACCTCAGCAAAAGCTATAGGAGCTTCTTCAGGAGAACCACCGCTGTGCGCAATATTAGTTTGGGTGTACGAAGAGGAGAGGTAAGGACCCTCTGTTGGTACCCTTCCTGTTACAAACCCGTGCATCTCTCACTGCACATCTGCTTGTGTCATGCTCAAAATATCTGACGTATTTTGATATCTTATGCTCAAAGTATCTGAGATCTCCTTCAAATTTCTGGAATTTCTGCAAAAATCCCTAGACACGGAATCTGAGTAGAGCATCTATCGGCTCTTTCCCCGGGGAAAACTTTGCTGATTGATTGATGGAATTTCTTCTCTTCTGTAATTAAAAAAAAAATCATGTCATTGAAGAATTTTAATCGTCATTTGGGCTACAGGATGGCATCTTACTGAATGCAAATATTTTATCAATCCAGTTAATTAAGGGAACCTCTTCTAGCTCTTGCTTGGACTTCCCGTGCTCTTTAAGTGGCCAGTTAAGCCCATCTAGTAAAATGCTCCTTGGGAAAGGGAAAAGAATGCTCACACCAGAACAATAGCTCAGAGTTTTTTTCATGGATATGGTATTAATTCTAGTAGAAATGTTTAATCGGAACTGATAGAAGCCATGCAAGTTGTTCCTGATTTGTGCTTAATTGCATAAAAAGAAATCAGTTCTGAAAGTGACTACCTTTAAAAAGGTGGCAGTTCAGGGAGCACCTGTCCTGCAGAGGTCCCGAGTAGGTTTCCAGCCCCAGGAAAGCCAGAACAGCCACTTTTCTAAGGTTCAAGGAGCCAGGAGGTCAGCTTAGGTCAGTGGACAGGAAGCCAGCCTCCGCCACCAGAACACAGAGGTCTTGGAAGGAGATTTTCAGAACCACACGGTGGTTCTGTCTCTACCGTGGAATCTCTAGCTAAGCACATACTGACAGATAAGGACTAGATCTAGAAAAGACAGCAAGAAGGCCATTTTTCACATGGAACATAAGACGACGTTGAGCCAAAAGACTCTCCAAAATGTTGGCTTGATGCCGAGTGTCCGTGTTTAGAACTAATAGTTGTCGTCTTAACTGCTGTCTGGAGCAGCCTGGAGTCCAAGTTGGGGGTGGAGAGAATATTTTTAGAGTCCACTTAATGTGTTCCTTTTTTAAAGTATTGATTTAGGGGGATCCCTGGGTGGTGCAGTGGTTTAGCGCCTGCCTTTGGCCCAGGGCGCGATCCTGGAGTCCCGGGATTGAGTCCCACGTCAGGCTCCTGGCCTGGAGCCTGCTTCTCCCTCTGCCTGTGTCTCTGCCTCTCTGTCTCTGTCTATCATAAATAAATAAATAAATAAATAAATAAATAAATAAATAAATAAGTAAATAAATAAATCTTTAAAAAAATAAAGTATTTATTTAGTTATTTGTGAGAGAGAGCAACAGAGAGCTCAGTGCAGGAGGGGCAGAGGGGGAGGGAGAGAGAGAATCTCAAGCAGACTCCTCGGTGGGCGTGGGGCCTGGCACAAGGCTCCATCCCACTACCCTGAGGTCATGTCCTGACCCAAAACCAAGACTCGGAAGCTTCACCAACTGAGCCTTCCAGGCGCCCCAGACCATACTGTAAACTGTGCAGTGGCGTCAAGCGGATAACGGTAACAATGAGTGAGTTCCAAAGACTGTCATCTCCCACAAAGGGACACAGTTAGGGCCTTGTGGGGACCGCCTGCCACATGATGGGGGATCTCGCACGATCCCCGGTAGTTGGCATTGCCTGCTCACCCTCTGGAGGGTTCCTTCCTCGGATTCACCCCTTGGAGGTGAGTGTCCCTACGGTCACACCGCTCAGGCACCACGATCGCTTCCAGAGCACTTTGCACTGTCGTGTGATTTTAAAGGTCTGCGAGCGTCAGAAACCGGCGGCTCGGAGAGTAAATGCTGCCTGCTGGGATTGACATGTCCTTCCCCCGCTTCTTCTCTCCTGTCAGTGCTTTGGGCTCCTGGGGCCCAACGGGGCCGGGAAGAGCAGCACATTCAAGATGCTCAACGGGGACTGCCCTCCGACCTCAGGACACGCCGTCATCAGGACCCCCGCAGGGTAAATCCAGAGCCTGCCAGGGCATCCTGAGCGAGCCCTAGAGCCGCCCGCATCCCCTCAGCTCTGTGGCCTGGAGTCTGAGCTGCATCCTCCTTCCACATTTACCTTCCCATTAGCTGCCAGGTGCCAGACGGGGAGGGGTCTCTGGTGCCAATGGGGCTCCCTTATCTCATCTGCAAAGGGTGGAGGGCGTGTGGGCAGATAGCGGCCAGGCCTGAGCTCTCTCCGGGCGCCCAGCGGGCCCGGTGTGTCTGGCTGCCGACCCAGGTGAACAGGAAATAGGAGGAAGGAGATCCGACCAGTAGGGAGAGTGTGAGGTACGTGTGCGTCCTGGTGCAGACTCTGAGAGGGAGTCGCGTGTATGGAGTCGAAGCGCGCTCGAGAGCTCACGCTGCTGGTTTTTCCCTGCAGTTGCGGAAGGAAGAAGGTGTGTGTCTGTTGCGTGGGTGGCGTGCGTGCGTGCGTGCGCAGCCCTAACCTCTCTATTTACCAGTACCTGTGGATAGAAGGGTCAGAATGTCAAAAGCAAAAAATATATGGTCTATTTTTCTCATCCCTGGAAGCCTGACTCTCTTGTTCATGATCCCGTCCCATCATTTGTAAACTAATTGGAAAATGAAATTCAAATAGCTGTTCTTGAAGGAAAGAATACATTTACATCTCCTTAATGGCCTGCAATCCCTTATTATGCTACGTATCTGTGTAATTAGTTTAATTATGACTAAATCGCACTTGCATTAATTATATTTTTAACCTTGATTATTTGTAATGTTAATTGCACATCGCTAGTCAAGGAGTTAAATGGGTAATTAGAACACAATGGAATTTTAACTACTTAGCCGGTGTACATCTTCCTGCCCATGAAGCTCATAACCTACTGCTACCCAGTTAGAGTACGTTGATAGTCATTCATTATTTTCAGGTCCCTTTTATCTCTTTTTTTGAGGTTATATTATCAGGAACAGGGCTCTTTTCTTTTCTTGTTTATTAATGTCTATGAAGGTGTGTCCGTAAGTACAGAATATACTTCGTAACGGAGCTTTGTAATTAGATTTAAATTATCTTGAGCTCCTGGCACAATGGCAGTGGTCACCGACTGGAAGACCGCAGGCCAACAGTCACTTCGTTTTTATTTGGCTGGTACAGCGCGTGCATTTTGGAATTGGACCTCCGTTGGTCAGAACGCAGACTTCCTAGTTCTTCACAGTCCCCACCCGTCCCTATGGCCTCGCTACCGGCACCAGCAGATGTGTAGGTTGACCCTCTGCAGCTTTTAGACGCTAGAGGTTGCAAACTGCTGCAGTTAGAATTAGAATAAGTTGTAATCCCAATAGTTACACTGTTGTGACTCTGGTATTTACCAAGCATCAGGCCATGTGGGGCTTGGCGTTTCTGGTCTCATCCAGGGGTTGGAACCACCTGGGGAAGAGGACCTCATCCTGATTACATCGATCAGGAATTTGGGGCGCAGGGCATTCTGTGGTGTGCTAGGAGTCAGGCTTTTGGAAAGTAGCAGAGGATTTGAATCCGAGTTACCAGATCACGTAGTGTTGGAATTCAGGCCAGTGACTCACTGGAGGAGTAGGAGGGCTAAGGAGCTGCCTCGGAGCCAAGCGGGGCCGGCCTGGGTCTGCCTGGAAGCAGAGTAGACTTTCGAAGTGTCTGGAAGGATAAGTTACGCCACCTACAAGGCCCATCACCCCTCCTGGGTCCTGGGTGTGAGGGAGGGACGGTCCCTGTAAGGCTCCGGTGTGTGTGCATTAGCCCTGGGCCTGCAAGCCTTTTGCACTCAGTGTGTGGCCAGCAGCCTTGTAAGGGCCATGTCCGCTGTGTGCTGGTCCTGTCGAGCGGTGATCATCCACAGAGGAGTGTTCACCTGGTCAGGAGACCGCAAGGCCTCAGGCCCTATCTGTGTGCATCCTCTCAGTTCACCTCTCTTGTCGGTTCTTGAGCTGAGGAGGGTTTTTTTTTTTTTCCCTTTAAGGTTTTATTTATCTTAGAGAAAGAGCACAAGCAGAGAGGAGGGGCCGAGAGAGGGAGAAGCAGGCTCCCCGATGAGCAGGGAGCCCCAACCGAGACCGACCGGGCGCAAGGGTCATGACTTGAGCCCAAGGCACTCACTCAACCGGATGAGCCACACAGGCAACCCCGTAACTGAATACATTGAAACTGAAGCTTAGGGGCACCTGGGGGTCACAGTCGGTTGAGTGTCTGCCTCTTGATTTCAGCTAGGGTCATGCTCGGGTCGTGATCTCGGGGTAATGAGGTGGGGCCCCAACTCCCAGGCTCAGCGGAAATGTGCTGGAGATCCCTCTGCCTCTCCCCAACCCCCCCTCTCAGATCAATAAAAAAAAATACTTTATGAAGCTTAAAAGCCACAGTGGTTAGTGGCTGCTAATTTGAACAGACACAAACCCAATTTTGCTCCTTTATGGTCTTTTTCTCTCATCTTTCCTTAAGAGCTTGTCTGAGATTTAACTCCTCAGTCTCACTACAAGACGTCCAGGTACGAGTATCTTCTCAACTGTGATGCTCGAGAAGCATCGTGGTTTTCTAGGAGAAATAGTAAGTCATGGCCTGGGGGAAATTTGGTGACGTTATCACCCAGTTAGAAAAACGTGAAGTTGTGAAGTTTCTGAACAGGAAGTTAAAAGCTGCCTACTGGGGCCAGGGAGGTGTTGACAGGTGGACTGAGGAGCTAGACGTCAAGAGCTTCTGACTTTCCTCCTCCCTCGGCCCGTGCGTGTGTGCACGCGCTCTCTCTCTCTTCTCTCTCTCTCAAATAAATAAAATCTTAAAAAAAGACGCAGGCATTCTTTTCACAGGTTAGACCAGTATTTTTGGAGTCTGTTCCATGTCAATGCATGAAGGTAGGACAGATCTTTCTTCTGCCTCCCGGCCCCCCAGCTTCCTCCAGTCTTAAGCGATCACACATCAGAGATGCGGGTGAGCAGTAACTCTTAGACCCTCTAATATCCCCACATTGCTGAGATTCTGAGTATTACACGTAGGAACCTACATACAGATCACCCGGCTTCGTTTAAGCACCGTGATACCAATATTACGAAGAAGACCGAGGCTAATTTATTGCTTATAAATCCTTTACACTAACGTGAATCATAGATTAAGTCATAACCTCACCAACTAGGAATCACTTGGAAATTTCTCTCCCGTTTTAAATTAAACGGCGATGTAAAATACTAATACCGATTAGGAAAACAGTGAAGGGAAATCCTCTATAGTCTTACATGAAAGTGGTTTTTATTCTTGTAGTCCCAGCTTTGAAAAAAAATTCTGTTGTATGTACGTATGTGTCTATTGTGTGTGTGTTATGTTTCTGTCATCTATAAATAGTCTATATCTGCCCGTTTATCCTGCATGTGTGTGCTTATCACATCCCCATCATCTAAGACTTACCTGTCCGTCCTGTAGGTGCACACACATACCCCACACACATCATTGCCGCCATATTAGTCTCCAATTTTTACATCACAGCAGGAGTGTTTTCCAGGCCTGCTGCACAGATCCCATGCTCATGCCCGCCCGGTATTCCACTGGATTTCTAAGTCCACCACTACTGAGCCATTTTTCTCTCATGCAATCATATTGTTTCCTAAAAAAAAAAAAAAAAAAAAAAAAAAAAAAAAAAAAAAAAAAAAAAAAAAAACTTACCTCTTTTAAAAAAATATTAATTTGAGAGAGAGAGAGCACGCAAGCATGGGGGAGGAGGGGCAGAGGGAGAGAGAATCACAAGCAGACTCAGTGCTGAGCGTGGAGCCAGACCTAGGACTTGATCGTGAGATCAAGACCTTGAGATCATGACCTGAGCCGACACAGAGTCAGATGCTTACCCGATTGAGCCCCCCAGTTATGTTATTACTTGAGTTTTCTTTTCTTGGAGCTCAGTGTCTCCTGGATCCAACAGTCTTGTCCTGTAGAACAGACTGGTGTGGGCCGTGTGGCTGGGCTCAGCCATGGCAGAGAGCAGGGCCCGTGGAAGGCCTCTGCAGGTCGCCGTTAGGGCTGAGAATCTTATTCATTCATTCATTCATTCATTCATTCATTTTTGAGAGGGAGACTGTGAGCAGGGTCAGGGGCAGAATGAGAGGGGAGAGAGAAGCTCGAGCAGGCTCCATGCTCAGCTCAGCAGAGAGCCCCATGCAGGGCTTGGTCTTACGACCCTGAGATCATGACCCGAGTTGAAATCAGGAGTGGGATGCGTAACCGACTGAGCCCAGCTGCCCCTGTCATTTCTTTTTTTAATGGAAAATTCATTCATTATGTCAAGAACTGCTGACCTCTTCCACAGTGTGTGGTGCTTAATTCATCATTTCTCCTGGGGCTTTATCCCCCACCAGTACACATCGGCTCCTGTATTGATGGACCAGGGGGATTAAGCCATCCTGCATTATCCATTTGTTTCATTACAAAGTGATATTAGAAAAACTGAAAATCCCCCAGCAGATGTACGTCCCTAAGCGTTTTGTTAATCAAAGGATAATGTTCGCTGAAGACGAATATTGGAGGCAATTGCTCTCCTTTCCTGGACATTTAAACACAAAAGCCAGGTCGAGGTCTTCGTAAATTTAGAATCCTTTTCTCCGGAGGTTGTTCCAACACGGAGCCCTATTTTCTTTAATGAATAAAATGGGCCGCTGGGGGCTGGGGATGATAGGAACACCAGCTCGATGCACGTGATTTCCTTTGTCCAAAGATTGTCAGAAGCAACCTCAAACATAGAGGTTATCTGTCGAGCTGTGTGAAGGTTCAGATAGGAGCTTCTGGTGAACATCAGGGTTCCTATGTTGTCTAAGCTGCTCAGCTCTCTGTACAAGGCCCCCTTGGGCACCCGTTGACTGCAGGTGCCTTCCCTGCACGGCACCCAAGCCCTCCCCAGCATTGCGTAGGACCTCCGATGCCCGTGATACTCTTTCTTCCTCCTCCGGCCCCATTTCTATGCTGCCGCGTGCTCCTTTCATCTGGGGAGCTCCAGTTGTCCA